AGTGGAGAGCAAAACAGGCAGATCGATGAAGTACACTGCTGAGGGGAGCAGTGGGCGGGTCAGGAGAGGTCTGCTGCACCATGTGGGTCAGCTCCAGGGCCGGGGATCGAACGCGTGCTGAGGCGGCCACGGCCAGCTTCGTAGTGCTGTGCTTGGTGGTGCTTTAACCCACCACATCAAGGAGGGCCTGGCAGTCATATTTCTAATTAGTTATATAATTCAATGAAGTGCTAAGTAAAACCATGAAATAATGCCTGGAAAGAGAGAACTGGTTGTATGAAAACTAACATGTGCTTCGGGAAGGACGTGACAAAGGCAAATCACTACAGAACACGCTGCTGGCAAATCAGGTGCGGGTGAGTCAACTCCCAAAGACGTGGGAGGCACAGTCTAGAAGAACTCTGTATTCAAATTGCTTTGCAGTGTCTACGTTTTTTCTTCATCTGAAAGGAACAGAAATTGGAAGTGACAGATACATTACGGATGCTGTTTAGGAAAGAAAGAAGATGTGGCGGCCATCAGCAGACCCTCACTCAAGAACAGGCTTCGGCCCATATCAAAAGGACGGCAAGTAAATGTACACTCGCCGCCTGAAGTTAACCTGTGTAAGGAATGTATCACTTTTTGATTCTGGAACCTACTTTTGAGATTAACTCGCCCTATTACCGACCAGGATTTCTACCATTCTTCCAAAAAAGGTCTTCATGTAGACATGAGGTTTCCTTTTCCTTTGACACTGCCTCGTAGAGCGAGCGCACAAAAATAGGGCTTCCGGCTCTGGCTTCCCAGGCCACACGCTCTGGGACAAAGTCACACCGTATCACCAGAGCCTTCGCGCAACATCTGGCAGGAGGGCTGACCCCTGTACCACCCAGGACCCAGCGGGGGAGGGGTCCAGAGCTGTGCCTGGGGACAGCGAGAGCAACGATCGCTCCCCGGTCCCAAGCTTGCTCTGAGACCCCTCCCCACTGGGAGGCCAGTGGCCGCTGCTCCCTGGGTGCCACTGCTCCCTGGGGCCCCTTCCATGCTGACTGGTGCCTCAGGGATGTGTTTGCCTCCCCCAGCAGACCGCAGGCTCCCTGCAGGCAGCCTCATGCTTCCCTCTGCCCCAGCACAAGGCTCAGTGGGCCCCGAGGGCTGCCCGCCAACTAACTTGGGGGCTAATCTTCCGCTGCAGTCTCAAACACTGGGTGCATATGCCACCCAACACTTAAAACAAAGCATTTCAATTGTTTACGTCTCTTCTGTTTCTGTGGGCTAAAATCTTCATGCTGGCAGGATGAACACACACCGTGGTAAAAGTTCACTCAGTCATTTCCTAGCTGCTGTGGCTTTGGAGTAAAGGAGTTTTTAGTTCCTACTTCAGGAAAATGGGAATACAAATAACAAACTCCCTAAGCGATGAAGTGAGATGTTGCACGCACAGGAGAGAGCCTAACACACAGGAGGACCTCAACAGAGTGACTCTGACCACAGCCACAGAGCCAAGCACAGAGGTGAAGAATACATCTGACATCTGGAGCTGGGTTTTGTTAGTTTTCTTTTTCCTAATGAAAAATCTCAAACATGCACAAAACAGAAGGAATAGGATGATGAACAAATAAGACATCTCTCTCTCTCTCATACACACACACACACACAAACTACAGACCAATATCCTTGATGAACACAGATGCAAAAATCCTAAACCTTAGCAAGCCAAGTTTAACAACACATTTAAAGAACTATACGATGTGATCAACTGGGATTTACTCCAGGGATGCAGGGATGCTTAACATATGCAAACCAATCGATGTGATTCCACCATATCAACAGAAGGAAAAACAAAAATCATATGATCTTATCAATAGATGCAGAGAAGGTATTTGACACGAAGGCCTCCATTCAGGATAGAAATTCTTAGCAAACAAGGATAGCAGGAACATCTCTTGACGCAATAAAGGCCACATGTAACCCATCCCAAAGCTAGCACCACACTCAGTGGTGAGGATCTGAAAGCTTTTCCTCTAAACCAGGTACAAGAAAAGGATGTCTACTCTCACCACTACTCTTCCACACAGTATTGTAAGTCTGAACTAGACCAACTGGCCAAGAAAAAGATATAAAGAGAATCTGCAGCCACATGCAGAAAAACGAAATGAGACCTCTTTCTCATATATCACACAAAATTAATTCAAAATGGATTGAAGTTTCGGCTGCTAAACCTGACACCAAAAAGTACATTTCAGGAAACAGGCAAATCAAGCCATGACACTGGCTTGTGTTGTCTTTGTCTCTAAAATCAAGAAAATCAAAATAGGATATAAAGAAACAGGGCTACATCAAACTAAAATGCTTCTCTGCAGTGAAACTATCATCCACACAGAGGTACCCTACTGATGTTCTTTTAATGGGAGCGAGTGCTGGCACATCATACAACAGGAAAAGAGCTAATATCCCAAAACTACAAATAATGTGCCCAGTAAGCACATATGAAAAAAACGCGTAAATAACCCAACCAGAACAGTGAGCGGAAGAGCTAAACAGACACTTCTCCAAAGAACACAACCGAAGGCCCACAGGCACACGAGAACAAGTTCAACATCACTTACCACCAGGAAATGCTAATCAAAACCACAATGAAATAAATACCACCTCACTTGAGTGAGAATGGCCCATACAAAAAAAAAAAAAAAAAAAAAACCAGAAATAAATATTTGTAAGGGTGTAGAGAAACAGGAACCACCATACGCTGCTGGTGGGAACACAGACCTATTCCAGCCATGGAAAACAATGTGGAGGTTCCTCAACCTATTAAACATACATAGGTGATCCAGCAAATCTACTCCTATGTACCTAGCTGGAGGATATAAAATCACTAACTTGAAGGCATTTATGGGAGACTACTCAGCTATAAGGGAGTTGAACTCTTGCCATTGTGACAACATGCATGGACGATACAGAGAAAAAACCAAACCGCCACAACTAAACCAAAACAAATCCTAGAAATGTGACTGCAGAATTGAAGCTACTAGAGGCGGGTAAAAGGTGGGGATGGAAATGAAGTGAGGAGACCAAATGTTTTGATAAAAGTTGAGGCTGCTTTGGTGGTGGATGTGGTGTGTGACACACATCTGAGGAGGTGTGGCCCTATTTCCCTAAGTCCTAGGCAGTGTTGAGGACAAAGTTACATCAATTAAACTTTAAAAAAAAAAATGGGCAAAGAACTGCCAGGTATCCATCGAGTTTCAGCAATAATCAAATCAAGGCCAAACTTATTTTTACCTACATTGCTGCCTACCCTTACCCTGAAATTATTTTAAAACCAATCCTAGACATAAATCATTTCATCCCTAAAATATCTCAGCATTTATCTTCAGAAGAAAAGGATTCTTAAAAGAATCACAATATCATTATCATATCCAAAACAATGACAACAGTTCTGTGATATTACCAAATGTGTTCTTCTGAAGACGTATTTCCCTGATTACACCCTAATTTTATTTTTTTAACAAATGGTATATTAATTCAGCATTCAAATAAACACCACATCTTACTTCAACTGACAAGTATCTTTAGTTTCTTTTAATCCAGTGACTCTTAAATTAAGTCATTTAGGAAGCTTGTAATAAACAGGCTGCTGGGGCCTACTTCAGATTTTCTGACTCAGTAGGTCTCAAGACCCTCAAATTTCCATTTCCAATACTTTTCCAGATGACACTGTGTCCAGGAACCATAGAATAAGAACCACCATAACACACAAGTTTCACTTCCTCATTTCCTCTGTTTTCCTAAAATACAAAGATGTTCTAAGCTCATATTGTACATTTCCTGCACTAGGCCTAGACTCAAGCCATGTGTGCAAGGAGTCCTAGTTCCTTTCAGTGGGAAAGGTATTTAGAAACCACAATGTGGTAGTGGAAGTGCTCATTGGTATTAGACATTTTTAAAACCTTTCGGGCAGAGAAAAGGAGTAGATTTTTCTGGTAAACTATACTTAATAAAAATCATGAGTTTATCCTGATATTTGCCAAGTCAAATGAAGGATTACAAGATTCACTTCTTTGATATTTTAAATTTATATATCACTTCTCTTACAGTAAAAATCTCAACATGAGTTGTTTTATCCCACAATGGAAATATTAGGTCAAAAATCAATACTAACATTATGACTAACAATATAATCACTGGCTGAGCAGTTTATTTACATGTTTTTTCAGTTTGCCCTCAGCTAGCTATTTCCATTAGTAATGTGTTCACTCACATCCCTGTGTGTTAGCATTTCTTCTTCCTATGGTTTTTCTTCAAAAATTTTATGAAGATTTGTTCATTTATTCTTATTCTGAATTTTTAGAAACTTCTCCTTTCCCATTCTGATTTACTTTTATTTATAATTCTGTAAAGCATTGAAACAGCTTAAAGAGAAATCTACAAAACAAGTTTTATTCAGAGGAATCTAGTTTCTGTCCCTGCCTGTCCACCCTTTTCCCTCTTCCCCTATAAGTAGCCTGTTTTACTGTTATAGTTTATCTTTCCATTAACAATTTTAATAAGCAAATATGGATAAATATTTGTGTCCCCCCCCCCAGTCATTTTCTTAGATAAATTGATGTATATGATACTTACTTTCCAGAGTAGGCCCTGGAGCTACAGGAGATGGTATATAAGTGTAAATGGCAAATTAATAACACTCAGAGAAAACACCGTGTAGTAAAAAATACTGTGGATTACTGGTAAAAACTTGGAAATCTGCTTTACACACATTTCACACCAAGAAAAAGGCACAATCTGAAACACAGGCAGGGGCAGGAAAGTGGCTAGAGGCAATTTCACACCACACAGGGGTCTGATGTACACTAGCAACCACATAAGGGCATTTCTAAGGCTCTTTTTCTGGCTCTAAAATTCTATGATGTTAGAGTGAGCATAATCAATTACCCAGAAATCCTGAGGCAGAAGGGGCCCGTCAGTACTGACCAGTTTCTGGGCTCACTTGCAAGTGGGGGCGATCAATGTGACTATAGCTGCCACTTCCACACACAAACACCTATAACCAAAACAACCGAATTCCATCTATTCAAATACACCATGGATTGAGGATAAAAACATTGCATCGAGGTTGACTTGATTAATTCAGGCATGCTGTACTTTAAAAATCAGATGGACAAGTACTGGTTTGGGAGTATGACAAGAAATCATTCATTCATTCTCATTCAAAACATGTGACCAAAATAAGACATGGATCCTCAGCCCTCATGGAAAGTACAGGAGACAGACATGAAACAACATACAATTATAACCTATCATGACACAGAAGAGGATGCAGTGACTGATGAGGGAGCCCTCTCTGACTTCAGGGTGCATTTAGGGTAAGACCCGGAAGGTGGGACGGAGAGCGCTGCTCCCCTGCCCCCCAGCGTGGGGACTCACCTTGTCACTATACGACACGCTCTCCCCACAAAGACCTGGGGACTGCTTCTACTCCCCACAAAAACCTACCTGACTGCTGATTGGGAGCCTGTCGTTTCTAAGTAGTTAAACTAGATTTGGGAGCCCTTCCTGGTGGCGCAAAGGGTTAAAGCACAGCACTATGAACTTAGCCACAGCTGCTTTCAGCACGAGTTCAATCCCCAGCCAGGGAGGAGACCCACCTGGTGCAGCAGACCTCTCCTGTCTCACCCGCGGCTCCCCTCAGCAGTGTACCTTGTCAATCTGCCTGTTCTGCCCCCCGCTGTCTCTAGTGAATTCTCTCACCACCCCTTCACCTCTGGCCTTCACCCTAGTTCTGTATGCATAAATAAATAAATCTTTTTTTAAAAATAGATTTTGTACCAGGCCCATTAAAACAGGATGCTGAAAGTTAGGAAAAGAATCAGAAATCTAGAGAAAGGCACCTAAGACAAAAGAGATTGTGAGCAGAAAGGAATGAACCGGTCCATAAGGACAACTGGAACTTTGGATGTAAATACCCCTGCTTTCAAACCAGCTCTGTGCCTGTCAGCATGAGCCTCCCTCCTTGCACCTCAGTTTCCTCATGAGTCGAATGCTCACAGGATTTCTCTCAACAAAGACATCCAGGATGGGGACACATCAGGGCCTCAGGCCAAGCTAGGAGGGCACAAGGGCGGGTTAGGATACACTGGAGCAGACTTGGAGGAGGTAAGTCACAGCAGCAGCCCAGAACCGGAGCCCAGACGCCGGGCCGTGATCTACCTGTTCACAGTTATGCGTGCACTGGCCGTCCGTGGGGAGGGAGGCCCTCCAGAGCAGTGTCAGCAACCTCGCGGCCTCTTCCAGGATCAGCTTGACGGTGCTCACATTGGTGACAAGCCTGCTCAGGGGCATCGAGTGTGGGCCCTGTGCCGGGGGATGAGAAAGTCGTTACACACAGTCTTGAAAAAGATTACAGACAAATTAAAGCTGTCTAACGGGCAGCATAAATCTCTGCTCTGTGGGGCTTGAATTCCACATGCTGAGCAAGAGCCTGGGGCCAGACGACACCAATTTATTGTTCTTAAAGATTGGTGAATTATAGATTATGAGTGCATTTCAGCAGTAATTCTAGTCCAATCAATAACCATGATTAAAAACCACCTGCATTAGCCATATTAACTAACCAAGAAGAGGGTCCATGGTGAGCCCACTTTTCCACACATAGCCCAGAGCCTCTCTGGGAGGCAAGCCAAAGCCAGTGAGCAAGTGAGCGGCGTGGTCATTCACGCATCCCACTTTGAGCCACGAGGGGCCATGTACAGTCTCTCTCACCCTGTCTCAGAACTTGACTGAGGGCCTGGGCACCCCTCGCCTCCCCGCAGCCTCGGCTGACTCCTTCTTCCACTGCTCCTAGGGTGTATCTCTCTCTCAGCTCTGTCGTTCTGTTTACCTTTGTATCCAGCTCTGGACTGACATGGCTGGGAGCCTCCTGGAACTGAGTGGCCATTTCAGCAAGGAGCCTCTGGCCCTGGCCGATCTGCTTGCACAGAGCATCATAGTCCTCAATCAGGCCCAGAATGTGGTGGCCACTTGAGCTGGCCCACAGGTGGTGGGCAGGAGCCACGTGGGACTTGCATAGGGTGCCGACGGCTGAACTGCCACTGTCACAGGAGAGGGAGTCCACATCATTTCCAGAGAGCTGAGGAGACTCTGAAGCTGCAGGATAAGAAGGGAGATGGCCGGTCTACAAGGGCAGCACCCTGACGTGGCAGGCTTTCAATGCTGAAGTGCAGGAGAGCCAAGGGCAGCCCTCTGACAAACCACCTGACGAGGCCCAGATGGCTGAGGCCTGGCTCGTGGCCCTCAGTCTGCCTACCAGCCCATGCTGAGCTCATGCTTCTCGTGGAAGGAGCTCACTTGAAGCCAACCAACGCTTATTGAGCAAGCACTCACTTGCTTGAAAGACCCTGATCACACCAGTGTCTCAAGCTGGGGTTCCAAGAACCCTGGGTCTAAGTGGAATCAAGACTCCATGTGAGAGACGTAATGGCACAAGATGAAGAGCAGCTCAGAGGAAGACAGGAGAGAAGACAGGCAGGAGGGAAGCAGGGAAGGCTTTCTAGAAGGGGCAACTGAGCTGGGTGGCACAGGCAGCAAGAATTACTCAAAAGAGAGGGAAAAGCCTGCTGCTTTGACCCTAGATCAAGAGAAGTCTGGAAACATGAGGGAATGCAAGCCGCGGAGAAGTCTGCATTCATAGAGAGCTGTGAGGAAGTAGGGCTGCCCTGGCAGAGAAGCGGACAAAGGAAGTCTGGCAAAAGGAGGCGCCTCGCTGCAAGGTCCCAGTGAGAGGCGGGGCAGGCCTCTGCAGGTGGTGACCCATCTGTGTGGCGAGACGTGGGCAGAAGCTCAGACGGGCCACCGGGCAAGATGCGGGAGGCCTTGCCAGCCCCGCTGTGTGGCTGTGTCAAGCAGGGCAACGAGGAACCAGGAGGTTGCTGAGGTTGGTGACACCTAGGGAGGCATCGGCAAGCTTGGAGGGGAGCTCACCAGCTAGAGATGCTGCGGGCCTGAAACCCCAAATCCTGCCAAATACCCTCTCATATAGGCGCCAAGGGCACCTTTTTTACTTAAAAAGTCCTCCTGCCAACTCAACCCTGCTACAGTCAACCGGAGGCAGTTTGTACCTGATCTCGGTGGCATTGCCAGGGTGGAGTCGAACAGATCACAGGAACTACCAACTGCCATGGAACAGCTGTCACTACCTACAAAATACAAAATACGGGAAAATAAACCGCCAGAAGTTTCGGTTTCAACGTTTGACAGAGAGCAGTGAGTGAGAATAACGAAGTGCCTGCTATGCACCAGCTCTCCTCTGAGGACCGCCTGCCAGCCCTGTCAGGCCACAGGGGAAGGGGCTGAGCAGCTCAGTGCCCGCCCTGGAAGGCCCCTCAGGGCCAGAGAAGTGCACGGCAATTTCACCTCAGGGTAGCTGGGGCTGAGGCAGGCGAGCACGGGGCTGTGGGAGCTCAGGGGTAACAACCCCAAGGCGGCGGGAGCACAGGCAAAGTCCCAGATGCATCAGCCACCGCGACCCACGCAGGGAGGATGAAACAATTCATATGGCTGAGCCCTGGGCCCAGGGCAGGCAGGACGGGGTGCAAAGGCAGAACTGTGAGGACTGTGGGGACCCACTGCAGGGCAGGGCAGCGGCAAGCTGGAGTCTGTCTGGGCCCATGGCCGAGTCTGCAGGCTGCCGCAAAACCCACGAGGGAAAAACAACCCAAAGGGGGCCCTGAGAGGCTGTGCACTTGAAGTAATGCTAGGAGGCGAAACCAGCGCGCCGCGGAGCGAGCTCATTCACCACCCAGCCAGCACCATCGCGCCTGACCTCCCAGGAGCTGGATGGACGGCAGCGCAGGGCAGACCTCGTGAAGAGGAGACCAGGGGCAGAGACAGGCAGTGATCTGCCTGGCACCCCGAGAGTGAAGGGCAGGTGGCGTGAGGACCATATCCAGGCCTTGGGACACCCTCCGGGCCACCCCCAGGCACCTCCCAAGGGTGCAGGGCCACTCCAGAGGCCACGGAGCCGGGGCGTCAACTGTCTGGAGCTGGCCCGAGAGAGCTCGCTTTCTGCTGAAGACAGCAGCCTCACCGGCAGCGCACGGAGCGCTGAGCCGGCCCAGAGAAGTGTCTGCAAAAGGAGACGTGTGCGGCTGCCCGCGGTATATTCACATCGGAGGAATGGAGACATTGCAGGGGCGGCGGCACCGTGGGCTCTGAACACCCGCTCCGCGTGCCTGCGGCGAGGCCCTTGACCCTGGGCCAAGTCACAGGCAGCAAAGGCTGGCAATGGGCTCCTCGCTTCAGCCGCCCCAACTTCCCTTCTTGCACACCCCAAGCGCTGAGCCATTCTCCCTGCCTCAGTCTCCCCCCCACTCCACCCCGACTTCCTCAGTCCCACCTCAAAGCGCCATACAAAGGGCCAGAGGCGGATGGACAGTTAACACAGCAGAGCCTCGTGGATGCTCGGCCCAGGCGGAGGGCAGCCAGCCCTCTGGCGGGTACATACGACTTTGTAGACTGATGAGGGGTTTCTGCCTTTTTTTAAAAATAGGAATTCGTATATATCAGTTTTCTGTCAAAATTTTTAATCCTTATCAAAGAGAAACCTATGGCCAATCACTACAAGTTCTAAAGCAGGTTGACAGGGGCCCTGTAAGAGACTTTTTCTTTAAATTAAAGGCAATGGACATAACTCCCAAGCCTAGTAAAGAGAAGACTCTTCTGTCTGAGTACACTGGCATTCCCAGTTCCACCGGCTGCGTGTGCCCACCCTGTGGGCTTCAGGATGACAACCCCCAAACTCCTCCGTCTTGGGAAGGTGAGGTGGTAACTCAGGAACAGAACAGAACTCGGCGCTAGAGGTGGCTCTAGCTCCTTGGTGCAGAGCGGAGCGGACGGCTGGTGGGGTTCTCTGACCATCTACAGTCAGCAGAGAAGTGGCTGGAGCCCAATCTTGTCCCCTCGGGGCTCCCCTGTTTAGCCTTCTTGGACCAGGCAGTGAACCCACAAGCAAATGCAGAGCAGAACCACTTCACACCTACCAGCGAGCTTCCTAGATCCCAAAAGACAGTGGCAGTCGCAGGTAGAGGACTGGGCTTGCTCTGAAGACAGGAAGAGGGTAAAAGGGGTTCTCAGCAGTGGTTAGAGCTAGATGGAGGGAGGGAGCAAGACCCGAGGGAAAGAGGGCAGCGGGAAGCCCAAGCGCTCCTCCCTGAGAGTCGAGAGGCCCCAGGCAGAGACAGAGCTTTTTGCCAAAGGTGACGGCTACTTAGTGGTCAGGTTCCCTGGCTTCCAGGGTAGAGCGTGTCTGTTGTCAGTGGGAAGACACCTCCGTGGGCCAAGGGCATCGCTCAGGAGCCCACGTGTCCCCCTGGTGGTGCCTCACACAGGGCAGAGGCGGGGCAGTACCGTGCGGTTCTAGCCGAAGGGGCCGCTCGGACGCGGTCAGGGCTTGGAGGGCCGGGGTGGGCACTACTTCCGGAGCCTCCTGGCCCCTCTGTGCCAGCTGCTCCTCCAGCCTGCTCTGCAGCGTGCTGTTGGTCTTGATGCTCCTTTCCAGCTGTGTCCGCAGCGCCTGGATCTCCGTGAGGAGGTCGTGCAGGTCACTGGAAGGCTCCTGCGGCCGGCAGCCTTCTCCCGACACCTCGGCTCCGGCCTCTGTGAACGGGGCAAAGGGAACTCGACACCTTCCCCGCCAAGGGTCGGTCATAAAGGCGCTCAGAGTGTTTGAGATGCGCCACCACCCCCCCGCCCCTTCCTAAGAACTAGGTACAATTTAAAATAACAACTTGACTTTAAAAACAAAAATATTGGCAGGCTTAATTGCTGCTATTCCACAGGCTAAATAAGAGCTGGAAATTAATTTTCGCTTCTGGCCATAAAAGCCTTGCAAATTGCACACCAAACCCCGAAATTATGTCTAGTAGTAATAAAATCTATTTGGGCTGGAATTATAGAATGAAAGGGGCTGATTTTAAGAGCTACAGTATATTAAAAAGCACAACAGCAAGAATAAGAAAAACAACTTGAAGAGAAAATGAAAGTTGTGACCCTTTTCTAGATAAACTTTCAATAGGGAGAAACCATCTGGAAAATTAGTTAAAAAAAAAAAAAAAAACAACCAACCACACCTCAAAATTGATTCTGGAACATTAGACTTTGGTCAAGTTGCTCCCATCAGGTGTGTCTATCAGGAAACGCAGTCAATGGACCAGAGCTAACTAGGGGCTCTGGAGCACCAGCCCGCACATAGTAGGGCCCTCTAAGTACCTGCTGACTGAACAGGCAGAGCAAACACGCCGCAGGAGATGACAACAGGTCATGTCCTGGCGTCTGCCATGTGCCAGCCACACATGAAGTCAATGTGCTTTCAGCGTTCTTTCACCGCCACAGAGCAGCCATCAGGCCCCGGACTGAGGGAGCTGCGGGAGGTCACGTGGCCAGGCAGGCGCACTGCGAGTCAGGCTACTCCTCAGCCCAAGCCCTTGTGCTGCCTGTGGCCTCTTCAGGAAAAGACTGGGCCAGACAGCGAGCTTCCTCACGTACCACGCCACCCCAGAGGCAAGAGTGGGACGTGAGGCACAGCCAGCCTGCGGGGCTGCTGAGCTCACAGCCGTGCACGGGCGCCCGTACCCCGCGCTCTCCTCCGCTCCTCCTGCAGCCTCTCGTGCACCTTCAGCTCCACGCGCAGGGACTGGAGTAGCTTGTCGTTCTGTGACAGCAGCTGTTCCCTTGACTTCAGCTCCTCCTGCACCCTGAAAAGACCCCACCACCATGGGAGGAGAGGTTAAGTCCAACTTAGGGTGAGTTACCCAAACCCCAGAGACAGGTCAACACCCTCCGCCAGAAGAGCGTGGACAAGAGACACGTGACAGGCGACACATTCTCTCATGTGATCGTCACGGGCGCTCCAAAAACCTTGTGCCTTTGACTCTCCACTTCATGGATATGAGGAAGTGAAGCTCAAAAAGACTAAGCCTCACCCAAGGGTGCAGAGCTCAGAAGAGGAGCCAGGACTGTGTGACAGCAGACAGTGACCTTGCTGCATCCCCACAGCACCCCAGTAACCAGGGGTGATGGCAGCAGCGCTAAGAACCGAGACCACGCAGGACAGACGGAGTCTAAGGGCCTGGCTGCAGAAGAGCGGCTGGAAGGGCCGAAACGGTCCGAGTCAGACTCGTCACGCCTCTGCTCGGATTCCCCGGGGGCCTCCTGTCACTCCAAGCCAACCCTGAGCACTTCTCCGCGTGGCTTCTCTGTGTCGCCACGCCGCTTCCTCCCTGCCCTCATCCGCACGGCCTCTCGGCCCAGCGCAGCGCCCTCCCGGTGGCTCCCAGGCGCTGGCCCTGCGTTGCCCAGGCGTCCTCCCTGCGGGGCCGGGGGATGCACATGCTACTGCTTCCAGCATGCTGCTCACGTGGCATGAGAGAGGCTTCCCTGACCCGCCCTGGAGAAGAAACAGCAGTGGCCCCCGGACCCAGCCGGCTGAGGTGGCTTCGCGGGACGCATTTCATCCGCAGCCGAGGCTCCTGGGGCACGGTGTGGCCGAGCCGCCTGGTTCTGGACTCCAAGCGGGGCCCAGCGGGTCCTGGCCCAGGGGCGCCGGTGTGTCTGCGCTACCTGCTCAGCTGGCCACGGCTGTGGCAGACCTCGCTGCGCAGCTGCTGGTTGTGCTTCTCCTTCTCACTCGCTTCCCTCTGCAACCGTTCATTTTCTCCCCTCACACACGCATATTCCCGCTGAAGATGCTCGAGATTCGCCGTCTTCCTGGAGAGAGACTCCCGCAATTTTTCATTCTCCCTCTGTTTATCTGCAAACACAGAAAAAGCGCCACTAGGAAGAGACACCATTTGTTTTTTTCCAACCTTATTACGCAAATACAACACTTGAGCTGGAGCACTCCAAGAATACAAAAGAGAACGAGATTTAATCTGGCGTTTACGATTTTGGCATTCCAATTATCTTATGTATTTTGGGCAGCTAAATCTGTCAACATCAAGGCTGCAGATTAAACGTCACTGGGATGAAATGGGTCTGTTTAATTTTCTATTAAATAATGGGCCGTGCAAACCTAGTTACTTTGCCTTCTGACCAAACAGTGGGTAAAAATATAGACAGAGGCAAGAAGCAGGGCCCCAAACTCTGGCCAGCGTGGGAGACATCCACAGGCCCCCAGCGAGGAGGCCAGCGGCTGCGCAAAGGGCACCCTGAGCCCACCCACCCACCCAGGATGGGAGGACAGCGCCTCCCTGAGGAACTATATGCACCTGCGCAGACGCACACCCAAGAGCTGGCTCCAGGCAGCTCTGTTGACTCCAGAGCCCCGAGCAAGTTTCTTCACTTCTCCACACCTCAAGTTTCCTCATCCTTGCTGTGTGAGGACTAACTGACTGACTCTAAAAGAGGGCCACACACAGGGCTTCTCCAGCCCTCTGGAGAGTTGCGCGAGGCCCAGCCTTGGCATGACGGCAACATGAGCTGTGGGGATCTCTCGCCAGCCAACCTCCAGTGGAGGCACCAGCGTCCTCCCACCTCTTGGATGAAACTCAGGATCTAAGAGATTAAGATTTTTCCAAGGTCACACAGCCACTCTTAAACCACAACACAATTCTTCTGAGCAAACTTTCTCCTCCCCTCCAGCTCCAGCCACAGTAAGTTCCAGAGAACTCCCGACTGGTCTGTCTCCCCCACCTTCACTCTGAGGTCTTACTCTAGTCTCCTTCTATTCAAAGCACCTTAGTCACCCTGGGAACCCCTACTTGTCCTTCGATATTCGGCTGTGGAAGACCAACTTCCCCTGGGTCAGAACCCTCCTCCAGGTCCCACAGCTCCCCAATCTGCCTTTATCATGACTTATGTTCACAACAGCTGCTGTGGTGGCCTGTCTCACCCATCAGACCACAAGTCCCCTGACAGAAGGGACCAGGTCTCACTAACTCTGTATCAGGCCTACCCAGGTTCAAACAGAACAGAAGCCAGCAATGCCGGCTGGTGAATGAAAGGCCTGCTGAAGTCCATCTTCTCGTCATCCCTTCAGTCAAAACCACCTTCAATATCCCCCACAGAAAGATAGCAAGCTGGCCAGGTTCTAGCTCCACCATTCTCTGGCTCTGTGACCACAGGTTGGTCACTCATTTAGGCGTTGCTTAATCTTTGCAGAAATATTTTAAATAAATGAGGGATGATTGAGTGAAAGCTCTCTGGGGGCAAAATTTCAAATAGAAAAGGGGTCTTCAGGCCCTCCCTGGTGGCGCAGCGGGTTAAAGCACTGCACTAAGAAGCTAAAGCCGCATCCGCATGAGTTCGATCCCCGCCTGCCCCGGAGGGGACCACATGGCGTGGCAGACCTCTCCTGACCTGCCCGCTGCTCCCCTCAGCAGTGTACTTCGTCGATTTGCCTGTTCTGCTCCCCGCTCTGTCTCTGGTGAAGCCTCTCGCCGCCCCTGAGCCTCTGGCCTGTACCCCAGTTCTGTATGCACAAATAAATAAATCTTTAAAAATAAAGAAAAGAAAAGGGGTCTTCATAAGAAGTGACAGAACACTTCCCTGGGAATAGGAAGTTTCTGGCTGAGATCTGGCATGTGTATAGCCTTTCTCTCTTCCACCATGAACTAAACGGAATGAGAGGGAGCTGTAGAGAAGACAGTAATACCATTTGTTGAGATCTGAGACCCCCTGCTGAGGGCTTTCCAGTTTCTATTTGGCATAACAGCCCTATGAAGTATTCCTACTTCCCAGTTGAGAAGGCCGAGGTTGCGAGAGGTTAAGCGACCTGCCAAAAGTCATGTGCAACAAGTTATGGCAGTTGGCTGGACTTCAGTGCCTGCACCCTCCCCACCAGAGAGGGCCACGGGGGATCCCTTGAATTCTCACCTCTGGATCCTTTAGCGAGCATTGTATTGAGGGCCTGGTTCTGCTTCCTCAAGAAATGAATTTCTGATGTCAGAGAGTTATGCAGTTCTGAGCCATAAGCAAAGATGTTTGTAGACCCTATAAAAAAGCATACAAAACAGTGATTTGTGGACATTCTCCAGCTCAGGATGGAAGGAACTTCCTAGAAATATTTTCAACAATGAGGAAACAGCATGCTACAAAAATCACTCCAATGCACTATCTAAGGTATGACCAGAAGCCAAGGGGGAAAGGGTGAGCTTGAAAGGAGGCAAGGGGGCTCCCCCACCTCACCTGCCTAGTCGTCACTCCACCTCATGGTGAACAAACAGGAGACTTGGGCTAGAAGTGGGGTGAGAGGGTGACCTCCCTTGTATCTCTCCTGAAGTCCAAACCCCGCCTCAGCAAACCCCGCCACTGAGGCTCCATCCACAGAGCCAAGGCTTTCCCCTTCCTCCCCCGTCCTTCGACAACTGCCTTCTTTCCCGTTTCCGGCTTCTGCAGACAGGACTGCTGCCCCTAATCCCGGCTGGGAAGCTGGGGACCATCCCAGCACTTCTCTCCCCCTGCACAATCAGGCAGCCAGAACCTCAGCCTCCAAAATGCTTGTCACCCTGGCCCACTGTCTCCTGACCCTGTCGCTCGGGCCCGAACCTCACCTCCCTGCTGCTGCCCACCATTGTGCTAATCATCCTACCACTGGCCCTTCTTCATGCTATGCGCTGCTCAAGAACATTCGTAGACATCTGCTCACAGGCCACTGCAAAAGACAAGCGGTAAACAAGCCGAACGCAGGATCCGGACTTCAGCTCACCGTTACTTGGCGCCAACTTCACGGCTGCACTCTCCCCACGCTACCAAGTAGTCGCGCCACACCCAGGCTGCGCAGAATGAGGTGCTCTCTGCCCAGACGCCTGCCGCCTTCCTTACCAAGTCATACTCATCTTCACTCGGCACCCCAGTTCACAGCCTCTAAGTGAGTCCCAGAAACATCAGGGTCTCAAGCTGGACAGACTAGATTTGAAACTGCTCACAAATTCTGGTTGATTTTATCATCTCGCAGGCTGTGGTCTAAGTCCTGAGGCCCCACCTCTTCCTCGGGCCAGGGGCCTCCCTTGGCCCTCCAGCTCAGCTCTCCCATCTCTGACCTTTGTCTGCATGCTCATAGCCACCCTCTGGGGAGCATCTCCAGGGGGCACGGAGCTTGCCACACATGGCAGGCAGGTGCTCCCTGCCTGGCTCCCTTCCTGAGTCTACTGTGTCACATAGCCATCGGGCCAGACCCCTGCTCTCCCAGCTCCCGTGCAGCCAGAACCTGGCCATGGACCTCTCTGGTCAATGCACCCTGACAGGAAGCCAGCTGCGCGCTTCTGTGGAAGCTTTCCCACTTGACATAAAGGGCAGGGCAGGGAGAAGCTCCACCCACTTCCTTCCCATGCTGAGGACACTGTCCTGAGAGGAGACAACGCCGGTCATCACTGTGGCCATCACACGCAACCCCATGCCCTGCTGTCACTGAGCCATTAAACCTGTCTTGTGGACACCTGCCTCAAAATTTCATGTGACAGAAGACACAAGTCCCTGTTGTCCACACCATTCTAGTCACTCCCTGTTGTCTGCAGCTAGACGCATCCTGTGCACCCTTGATGAGCTGTACTGTTCAAACTCCCTCGGAGAAAATTACGGTATAAGGTCTCCCAGAAGCTGAAAGTTCATCCTGTTCCTGCTCTACACACTGTCTGTTCCTCATGCCAATGATTCACTCATCACAGCGTCGTGTCATTTTTATTTTTTTATTCACCGATGTCGCTCCCCACCTCCTTCTTCCACTCTGCCCTACAAGCGCTAGTGTCTCAGAGACACCTGGGCTTGAATCATGACTTTGGCTTCTTAATAGCTGCATGACCTCGGGCAAGTCACAAAACTTCCTTAAGTCTCCAATAGCTCAATAAAAATGATCAACGCTGTTATTATGACAGCCATTACCATCTGCATTAACATCAAGGCTGATGTTAAGCTAGAACCGAAGCTGGACCACAGAGCAATCTGCGTGAACTGGAAAAACTCAACAGAATCAGTCTCTGACCTGAAGTGCCACTTTTCTAAGGCACAGTCAGACCAGACTGGGCCCTCCTGTGATGTTCAGAGGCCAGCCTCCCCTGAACGCTGTCACTATCAACTCGTGTGACTGGCGGCAAGCTGGAAGATCTAACACGAGATGACAGTTTTTAACCATATTTCACCTCAACTTTACAAAAAGCCAGGCCTTTCTCAAGCCACCTTCCAACATGACTATTTCATGGCAGGAGGAAGTGGGGCCACTTCATTCCTTTGTCTTTTCAGAGACTGTGACAACGTGGTGGGAACAGCGGGTCTCTCCACCAGCGTGAATACTTCATGAACGCCTCTTTGTAAACCTTCCCGTCAGAGTGAATTACTCTCCAGAGCAATTGCCTACTCATTGTAGCTCGTGGCCATTTGAGCCCCCAAATAATTCTATAATTGGATTTACCAGGGAAAATGTAAAACAGAATGAATCTAATTCAAGCATTGCCAAGAGAGAATGTGAAGGGCGCAGGCATGTATTTCCAGGCTGTGTTTGATATGACTAATAACTACTTAGATTAATCAATTGCCCTGGGGGAGAGGGGAGAAGGGGAGGGTGCAGGATGGGGGTGGGGTGAGAGTAACAGAACCGTCTTGTTTACTATGCGAACTGCGGCACTTACAATGTTTCGGAAAGATGTTCTTCCAGGCTGGGGACTCCAGTGGGGCAGAGGAATGACAAGTGGCCACGGGAGCCCAAAGATTCCAGGACCGACCGCCACTAAGTACATCTTTCTAGAATTCAGTTATCTCTTCTCTAAGAGGACTCCTGTGTTCCCACCCACTGCAGAGCTTTGGACTGTTAACTATTGTTACGCAAAATAAAACTGATAATGATGATGAAAACAGTCATTCTTTTGCTCAGTGAGTGGGGGTTCACTTGCCTGAAGTCACAAAGCTAACAGACAGAAGAGCTGGACTCCACACCCAGCTCAGCCAAGCAAACTCAGACTTCTCCTAACGCAGAGTGGCCCTCAAGATCCATTCCTCATGGGAGGAGGACATTCTTTTTGCAGCAATAAGGGAAGAAGGCTAAAACATAATATTCAGTCAAAAAAAGGGCAAAGGAGTGAACAGGGAGTATTCTAAGCTTTGAGTGAGGGACAGAATAAGAACACATATTTGTTTCTATACTGAAAACACTGTAAGGGTGCAGGGAGAATGGAAGTAGAGGGTATTGAACAGAGATAGTAATTTTTGAACCATGTGACTATCTTACCTATGCGGGGGGGGGAGGAGATATACTTTCAAGTTCTCATGGAAGAACATTCCATTCAGAGGCTGACTGTAGGTATCAGAGACCTGGTGACTGGTATGTGAGATTTACTGAGATTTTCCAGACTGGTAAACTGTTAACACTTTCATAACCCAGGACTGACAAAAAAAGAGACTGCTTTGTCTTAGTTTAAAACACCTACCCATTTCTCCACAGCTTCCAAAGCCAAAGGAGAAGCCAACCATATCTTGGATGTCAGAGGCTGGGGGCTTCTCTACTGACAGGCAATTAGCACTCATCAAGCGCCTGCTCCCTCCCAGGGACGGGGGCGCGTGCTACCTAAGTCAGCTCACTTTAATTCTTATCACAACAGGATAAAATGGGAATCATTATCTCCCTTTAAATTATTGTAACTGAAACTCAGCAAGATTAAGTGAGGTCAGCCTGGAGCATAAGCAGAGAGTTAAGGTCTGAACTGAATTCTCTACGGCCACAAGTCCAACACTCTTCCCAACACAGAGGATGCTTTTCCAGGCAAGAGCCTCCCTAAGATACCCATGGGGCGGACACGGCCCTCCAGGAAGGGGGTTCCTTACCTTGATCAAATTCAGAACCTTGCCGTTCCAGCTGTCTCCGGAGCTTCTCATTTGCTTTAATAGATTCTTCTAACCGTTTTTTCAAACTTCGAATTTCTTGTAAATGTTCCATTAGTAAGTCTATGGGAAAGAAGGCATTTTTAATTTAAAGTCTGAAGCCCCTAACATCGAATAATTTACAGATTATACAGTAATCTTGAAATTCCAAGTGGTACTGAGTTCATTAAGATGGTCGGTAACTGGCAACTCTCTCTCAGGCAGGACGAGCTGAGCTTTTGCTTGCGGCCTGCTGACACATCCGTGCTCATCCTCGGTGGCCTCCACGAGGAAGACATTTTAGACCACGTGGAAAAACGATATCCCATGCAATTTTAATGCTAATGCTAATGTAGCCCTTTATTCTTCTAAATATCACATATTACTTTAAAATTGTCCTTATGGTGAAATTAACAGATCACTTTCAAGTCGGCCTGAATTGCCTGAGAGTTGATTAAACTACCTTCACAATGAGTCTAGATTATCTTGAAACTAATTCTTTGAAAAAGAGTATGTTATCCATTCATCACTTGCTCACTTAGAACTTAAAAACAAAGCAAAATAAGAAGCCCAAAGCTAGTGAGAATGGCAAGAAGGGTGTTCTGACCGCACGCTGCCAGCATGAGTGTAGACATAGGAGTTTCTGGCACTTTTTATCATTAGCCTTCGAAAGGCTATTTTCAAATGTCTTTTACCAAGTAATTCCACCTCTCGGAATCTATCTGAACGGATTCCAGTGATGTTAGCAACCATTTGCCAGAATGCATGAAAATATTCATCTTAGTACTATATCTAACAGTGAGAATTGAAAATAACTTCAATTATTGTATTACATCTACTACGATGCAATGTTACACAGCAGTCAGTCTGTCATGAAGGCCACTAACATGGGAAAATGCAGGAACAGTGGGTTATTCAGCATTATTACAAGCCACTGGGAGCAGACAGACAGACAGACACTCCAAAGGAGACACGCCTACATATTGACAAAGGCTGTGTGTGGGCCGCCCGCAAACTGGGCTTTTCAAAGCATCCACATTACGTCTAAATACTTAATAGTATATACAATTTTTCCAAATTTTCTAACACGAGCACATATTGTTTTATCAGCCTGTGTCACATCTCACTTTAACAAAGAAAAGGAGGAAGCGGTTCCACTCTAGAGGTAGGTTTCTAGAAACAGTTTTTAAAGCATAATCACATTAAGTATCCAAAGGCAAAACTAATGTCTTTAATTCATCAGTTAGGGTACACTCAGTATGTCTTAGTAATGTTTGTTTTAAAACATTATACTAATGTTATGACCCAGTTTTAATTCCTCCAAAATGACTTTCATTTAAAAGTAGCACAATGTTACAGATCTTTTCCTAATTAAATAGTAATTTTGTCATGAATTTGAATGTTTATGAGATGACTTAATTCCCAGACCTTCAGCTATCTCCCATTAATGCAGGAGTGGGGTGAGTCGTCTGGTGGAACGTCGGAGACCCCAGCAGCAGCCGGCGCTGGCGTCTGCAAGAAGGCCTGCGTGGCACTGCCCTTGCTGTCTGTGCACCCCCTGGGGGCCACCAGGCTGGGGGACGCAGGAACTTCGCTGTCCTGCTGCAGCCTTTGCTGCGGCTTACCCACGCCACGCAGGCCGGCTGCCATGACGCAGGGCAACTTCCGCTGAGTGTGATCAGGAGCTGGCACGGGGCTCCAGGGAGCATTCCCAGGGGAACTGGACACCACTCATGAATGATGCAGCGCTAACCCAACAGAAGGAAACACTACACTCACCTTGATGAAAATGGAAGCTAGTGACTGCCCTCTTACTACAACCACGGTCTGACAGCTTCCTCTTTAAGACCGAAAGTGCTGTAAGGAGCAAATACCTAAAACAATGTGTGGTTCTTCCGCCTAGGAGTTCTGACTTATAGAATCTAGGTTAAGAAAATGCCCCAAAATAGGGGGACAGCTTCCTAGTCAAAGCTATTTCCTACAGCACTGTTCACAAGTGTGAAATTTCAGAAATGTTCTTTGACTTAAATGTTCTTCGACAGGGAACACCAGGAAAACTGCAGCTCAGCCATTCTCTGGACTGTTCATAAAGCCACAGCAGATGATGGTCTATAGCCACACATCAGAAGCTTATGATGGATGGGATGTTAAGGGAAAAATACCGTACTATCTCTTTATCAGGTAATAAACATAACAAGAAGAAAAAGGGACACAGAGACTAACAGTCTGAAGAGACACTAAGTGGATCAGTTAAGATGGCTCCAGAGACTCCTGTCTCCCTTCGGGAAGGGCCTGGAGAGCCACCGGGAGGGCATGGGAAACCAAGGTCACAGGTCTCCAGAAAAATATACAATTAAAGAGATGCCTAAAAGGTTCTGCAGTGGATGGAAACAACGCAAGGTTGGGGGGCAGACCGTGCGGAGGTGCAGAAACAAGTGGAGCAGGAGGCCGAGGGGACCTGGTGTGAAACAGGCTCTCGCGTCTCACCCAAAGGGCCTGGCTGCTGCCCTGGGAGCCCCACCCTGCTCCAGTTCTTCCAGCCCCCAATCCAGTCTGCTCCTCCCACGAGGTCTGGGGGGGTGGTCTCAGGTCTCTTGGGAAGGGGCTCGGTTCCCAGACTGATGCAGCACGGAAGGAGGTGGCATCAGGGACAGGAAACCAAGTCACAATCTGACCTCAACCAGGCAAATCATAAAGTCAGACATAACGGAGGGAAACCAAGTACACAGCTCAGAGGGACAGAGCCGGGATCACACGACAGCAAGCCAGGTGACTGGCCGGCTGCTGGCACCCAAAACAGGCGCTCTGTGTGCCAAGCCGCACACTGCGTGTCCCGGAGGGCCCCCAGAGCCCGCAGGGAGCAGACTGCACCCCCACACTCTTTTCCAGATTGCACTTCCAAATGGTCTTGTCTGAGAAGGGGAGCAGCGAGGACCCTGTTGTTAAAAAAATGACCTTACATCCTGAACACCCTTGTTCCACGTGATCAGGTGTCACAGAGTTTCCAGCACGGACGTGCCAGGTGTTTCACAAAGTTCATGCCAGGTGCTTTGCAAACAACCCACCAGAAAAAGGAGCCCAGAAGATGACAGTCGAGGTCCAGAGTCTACACCGGGGGTCAAGAACTCACCGCCACATCATTCCTAACATGTTGACTGTGGCTGCTTCCGTGCCACAACCGCTGGATTAAAAAATTCCAAGATGGTTCACAAAGTCTGAAACATTTGCAACCTGGCCTTTTATTAGAAATGTTTGCTGATGACTGCTCGAGCTGGTCTCAGCTATCCTGCCCCTAGAACCTCTGAAATAGCTGATTACACACACTAAGCCCCACCCACTCCCAAACAGGAGACACTCAAGACTCAAGCACGGAAGATGTGGGGAGGCTCAGGGACGAGTGGCCATAGGAGGCTGGTTCTGCCCACTGAGGCCAAGGCTCTAGGTCAGAGGCAGGCCAAGGCATCAGCCCAGTGGGCCAAGTCCCACTAAGGAGAAACACAGCAGGTTTGCAGGACATCTGAACAGGGCTAGTCAGGTACACTCAAGTTTTTGTACAATTCAAGCATCTTCAAAGTGACCCTCAAAGGAGGTTTGGAAGAAGCTACAGGAAATTAGCCAGACTTGGAACTGACACTTGACCCGGACACTTTCCAGCCCGCCACCGTTGGAAGAGCAAGGAAATGGCAGGTAATAGACGTCATCATTATGAAATGAAAACGACTTCTCCCCAGTCACCAACACATCCAACAACCACAGCTCTCCCCAGTGACAAACGCCAGCATCTCCATTCTGAGAGAAATACTCGAGTAAATACTGGAATATTCAAGCACTACACTCTTAATTTAGCCAAGATGGCAAATCAGGATCGGAACAAGAAACTCTGGCCTAGTTTAAAATGCTGAGTACGGGGTACCTTACCTTGAGAAAATGCGTTGGCCACCACTGAAGTCTTCTCCGTCTCACTGTCTGGCTTCTGGTCTCGTGAGAAGAACGACTTTTCGGACAAGTCAAAATCAGACAATGCGTGTGAGGTGGAAGGCCCAGGAGATTCAGGTAGAATATACTGGTAGGTTAACTTGTCTTCCTCATTCCTTGAACATTGGGATTGGAAGAGAAATCATTTCCCTCAAGATCCCAAGCCAGGACTGGGTCTAAAGAACACTTAATGTGATGCGGTGCTTTAGAATTTCCCCGTATTTGCAACTGTTCTGTACTGTCCTTTTGCTTCCCTAAAGCGTTTTCACCAAGGACATTCTAAAAATAAGGGGCTCGGTGGGAGCAACCCCAAGAGAGGGCGTGAGTCAGCGCAGCTGTTTACCTAATGCTGCCCTGTACCGGGCGCTGTGGATATACTATCTCGCTTGGTCCCCGGAAATTCTCTGAAGCAGGGGTTAACCATGCTCATTTGGATTGGGGCGACTGAGGCGCATCATAAACTCGCCTCGCGTCACACAGCATAAGTGGCAGAGCTCACATTTGAACCTGCCTGTCTGCTTCCAAGGCCACAGGACCAGGTGGGAGGTCACCCCAACCCAGGAGGTGGCCTACCAGGGTCAGGACCCTCAGAACCCCTGTGGCCCAGCTGCTCCTACGATCACCATTGGGCCTGTCTTCTGGCGATTAAACGGCATTTCTTCAGCCTCCAAGAAAAAGACCCTGAACTCTGTAAACCCCACATGAATCTCCATCACAGATAAGCTTCTTAATTTAAGCTCTTTTCCCCCCACTTTTTCCTATGCTTCTTGTCTCATTATTCATGAGTTCAGACAAGAGCAAAGGACTCCAAAGCTGCAATGCATTCATTACCAGGTAAACACCAGCTGGGCCTTCGCCCAGGCAGCGTGATGGATGCGTGGGCTTGCCGCTGCTTTGCACAAGTGTGGAATGGGCCAAGGGTGCCCATTTAATTAGCTCGGGAATGACCATGTGAGCGCTAAGTCTACAACTGAAAAAAGGGGGGATGAGAGGGAAAAGAAACGAACCTGTCAGGAACGGGAAGGGTGGTGCATGGCTGAGGGCTGACGCAGGCTCCAGCCTCCCCAGCCCTTCCTCCCAGCACCACCTCATCTGGCAAAACAGCAAGTCTGACCCCACCTACTCCTAGCCTACCTCCTTCCGAGACAACCTCTTCCTGAAAAACATTATTTGGACTTAAGGCCCAGTCCAATGCAGCCCGCCTGCCTCTCTGGACTTGACTCACAGCTCACGCACCAGGTGCTGCTTGAGGGAGTTATGTCTCCCGCCCTCGAGCAGGGATGCTCTCCCAACACCCCGCCCTCTATCTCGTCCCTCAGATCTCAACCCTGTCTCCATTCTGAGAGGCCTTCCTTGCCCTCCCATGGTCTGCCTCTGGGAGATGATCTGCTATTCTGAGGGTGGAAATGGAGGGCCGAGCTGGGAAGGATTTTTGAAAATACTGCAGTAGGAGAAGAGTATTTCTCCTAAGCTAATTAAAATGTTCTCCGGTGAGCTCTGTGGTCTGCTCTCTCTGACAAGACTGGTGGCCTTCACCAAGCTAATAAATTGAAGCTTCTGGGCTTCAGACTGGTCTCTGAAATGCCTCCAGCACGAACATTTAGAACCTTTAACAAGTAACCAGAAGCGGGTGAGACCTTGGCATTTCCAGGTAGTCATAGAGCGAGCATACTGTGTAGTTGCAGGCAGTGGAGTGTGACAGATTCAAGTTCAAATCCCAGCTCTGCCTAATAGCAAGTGTGTGACTCTGACCCCCAGGCGTGACATCTTAAAGGGAACAATAAAGTTGACTTTGTGGGGTCGGAAACAATGAATGTGAAAGCCCTGGGCAGCGGCTAGCACACACCAATACCCAGTTAATGCGAGCTCCTTTTCTCTTTCCAGGAATTCTGGGAGTAGAAAGATAAACGCAGAAAGTATTACAATACCATGTGGTAAGTGTTGTAATGAAATTATGAGCCAAGAGCCACAGGAAGAGTAGCTGGTGCTGAGAAGCAGGGGAGAGTCGGGTGCAGGGGAAAAGCACTGACTCCACAGAAGGATTTCAAATTCCAGGAGAAGAACAGCGCCTAGGCCTCATGCACAGGCGCGGCCCCGGAGCGAAAAAAAGGCAGGGAAGACTGAAACATGGGCTCAAACTGAGAAGGGCCACCAATGCCAGGCTACAGGCTGGAGTTTACCCGCCAGGTGCCCAGGAGCCCATGGAAAGAACGAGCCCGTCACCCGGTCAAATCACCTGGCAGAAATGCCACAGGTGACCAAAGACAAAGAGAGCTGCTGCTCTCTCAGGCAGCGGGAGACTCTTGGCTGGGTACGGCCATGGTGGCTGCATAAGGTGTTTGTACTTTATTTACAAGCAGCAGAAACTAAGAGAGACAGAGCTGGAATGCTTAAAAGGCCGGCAGACAATCCAAACTGCCAAGTAAGTCACTCACCGGTCTACCAGATCATTCTGGGTGCTCATTTCCACTTCACCTGATTTTCCTGAAAGCAGAAATAATATCAAGAAGGAAAACACTTTTAGAAATTGTTCCTTAATAATTTCCTGCTTGTACATTTGCAGAGGCACTGTTCCGTTTGTTTAAACACTCTTTACCACACTCCTGGACATGTAAAGTAGAATCACCAAGAATATAATTCACACCATAGACCCTCCTTCATCCTGCTCTGGCACTGGTTCCGGCAGGCTGGGGCAACACTGAATCTAAGAAGCAATCGAAATGCACCGCTGGGTGCAGCTCCTTTCCTTCTCTAAAACTCTGATACTAACAGAAGACATGCTCAATTAGAGGAAATGGGTCTCAGAATCAGGAAAATGAAGAAAAATACCACTCTCGCCTGGGCGAGTACCCACTGTGGACACATTACTAGGCTTCATTCCATTCCTTATTGTGTACATCTTGGCACGGGTGATACTGTATTGTGACTTAATTTTTCACTTTGTGCTCTGTTATAAGCATTTCTCTTCCTCGACTGGCTTTGGAAACCATTTTTAATGACCACGTTAATATTCTGTGGTAAGCTGCACATTTGCCACAATTTTTTTCAGCTCTCGGTTTGACATTTAGGTCATCTCCAATTTTTCACTTGTATAAATAAATGAAATAAACATCTTTGTGCATACAGCTCTATCTGCATTTAAATTATTTCCTTAGGAAAGACTCTCAGAAGTGGGATTATTAGGAAAAGGCGAATAGGAGTAGAGCTGAGAAAGTCAGTATCGGCAGCAGGGAGAGTGACCGAAAGAAATGACAAAAGAAAACAAAATAAAGCTCAGAATGTGGCTGAGCCGAAGAGGCTCTGTTTCTTCCTGCGTGTCATCATTTGCTGTTTGAAAGGAAGCACATGAGCCCAGATTTCAAAGAGACTAACAACTTTATTTTAAAAATACTTCAGAACTCTGGAAATTGCAGGCTGGGATGAGCTCTTTGAAGAAACTAACGCATGGCTAAAGAAAAAAAACAAACCTTCTAAAGCTGTACTTGAAAAATGAGACTATAATTAAACTGCACCCACACATACCATTTTCCAAACTACTCCTAAAAGGAAAGTTCTCAAACACCACGGTGCGGAGGAAACCATCCTTGGAGACTCGTGCATTTGCTTGATGTCTGCTGGGTCCCACCTGCAAGCTCCCAGGCCACAGGCAGTCTCCCTCACCACCTGAGGGGGCTGCCCCCGGGCCCCGGGAGTCAAAGCCATGTCCTGAGCGCCTGAATACTGCCTACCACTCATGGGCCAAGCAGCTTCCGGCACTTGGCCGGAAGCAAGCAGCTGGACACCAGGACCGAGTACGGTGCCTCAATCCCTTCCAGCTCCTCTGGGTGTCGTCCACTCCCACAGGCCCAGCACCAGGCTCTCCAGTTGACAGCTGGGAAGTGGGAATCGCGGAGGTTCTCACTGCCAGGTCACGCTCACGTCCCGGTTAAGCAGAGGAGGGGCGCTCTGCCCGCAACCTGCTCAGTCACAGATGTGCAGCTTGGTCCTCTCGGCACATTCTCACCAACACATCATGCTATTTTGGTTCCCCAGAAGGAAGGGACAGGCTGACGGGCTTGTAACACAGAGATGCTGTCTGTCCTCCGCACATCTTTCTGTCCTCTACATTCCTCCACAAGGGGAAATGTACTTCCGATTGGGTCAGGCATTGATGGGAAGTCCCAGGCTCAAGACCACCACAAACAGGCAGGAACCACTGGATATTCAGCAAACAGCTCCCTTGGGTTTGGTCACCCGCAGCTGCGCAAGAGTTGCCTCAGAGGATAAGATTTTGGCCGAAGGACCCTGAGGAGGGGCCATTTCTCCAGCGTTCCCAAGAGCTTCAGAGACAAGCAGCCAGGCAAACAGGACGTCACACCCTGCTCTACCAGCACTGTGTTCTTCAGGAACAGATCTGCGTCGGGACTGTCACTACCTGGGGAGGCGTCCAACATTCACACACTCATCTTAAAACCGCCCCAAAGCTCTCCTCATCCCTAAAAAAATTCATGAGCACAGAGGGACATGCCCTGATGCCACCAGATGAGCCTCCCCTTCTCCGAGTGGGAGCCCCTTTGGGGAGTAGCAGTGAAGCGACAGCAACGTTCCTCCCGCTCCCCTGCCACTGGTCTTCACGACCAGTGACACATTACGTGGGGTCAGCGGAGACACTACATGTGCTGCATGGAAGCTCTTGGTGGCAGCTCTGCAGTGACGGGTGCATCCTCCCCAAGCTCCCGTCTCCCAGGCAGACCTCACCACTGCGCCTGATGCATGGAATAAGTGGCAGTGGAGGGGCTTGGTCTTTTCAAGTAAAAAGACATGTAGTTATCTGGTCCACATTTGAGCAAGCTAGAGAATTATTATGTAGGATAGACGAGCAATGGGTCGGCTTACCTCTATGCACTGCTCCGTGCTATACAGCACCACCACCTAAGAACCTCTTTTGAAACAGCGCCCCTAGCCCAACCTCTGACAATCGTACAGAGGGCAGTGGGCTGGAAAAATGTCCACTGACTGGACAGACTGTGGAAGGCCTTGAAAGCAGAGAGGCTGGTCCCGGCAGGGGAGAATCAAGGGCAGGGACTGTCTTCTATTCATGTGCTAAACCCTGACATCAGTGGGGAGTCACTGAAGGAAGAGTCTCCCTGGCAGTTTTCTTCACACCTGCCCCAGAGCTTACTCAAAATGTCTAAAGACCAAACACACCTTCCCGTTTAGGCTCCCGGTCTTGGGAAGCACCAAACAAGGACATGGTGGCCCTTAACTGATCTCCCTAGCCTCAGGAGCCAGCGAAAAGCCCCATTGGACTCCCCACGGCACTCAGAACACGCACTGTCATAGGGTCCTACCGGTTACACGTGACCGAAGACACGGCAGGGATGTGCACAGTGCTCTTTATAACAGCCCCAAACTGGAAGCAACCTCAATGTCCATTCAGTGGGAAATGACTAAATAAACCATGGAATCTGCATACAAAAGAATGCTCGGCAGTCACTGAAACTTACAATGTAGATGAACATTTATTATCTATAATTGAACAAAAGGGAGGCTGCAAATAGGGCTGCTTTCACAAAAACGATACATACATATAAAAAAGGTCTGGGAGGATGCTCCAGGAGGGTCATGTTTTGCTATATAAATGATGCAATTATAAGAGTATGTGCTTATCCATTATTCTACAATAAACATGTACTGCTGCGTATTAATAAAAAAAAGACTATTTAAATTTTTTAAGAACTCATGCTATGCAACTGCCTAAAATAAAAACTATTTGTGATAAGCTTGTTTCATAATTCAGGAGTCAGAACCCTTTAGAAAACGGGATCCAAGAAAGACCCACCCCGTTAACTTCTATTCTCTAGGGGGAAAAAAGAGAGAGAGAGAGAGAGAGAGAGAGAGAGAGCTGTGGCGAGGTTCCTGGGACTTTTATGCCTTTTGTAGAAGAAAATAAAGTTTTTTGTCTGTGTTGCCTGCTAAGCTTGAAAGGCTTCTGCTTCCAGAACCCACAGGAAGCAAGAAGTGAGATCTTCCTGCGCTTGTCAAGGTAAATAACTGAAAAGTAAATCGGGGGGGGCGGCTGGATGAAGGAGGAGGGCAGCCGGTGCCAGAGGCACTCTCTCGCAGCCTCCCACTTCCCAGGGCCCAGGCTGAGGGCTTGTAGGAAGAAAGAGACAGACGGAAAATGCCTCAGGCCTGGAAGACACAGCTCTATCTTGAGAACCCAGTTATTTCTCCAGTAATAAGTAGAAAGCTAGCTTGGGAAACCTCAGCCAGAAGAAACTGAATTTCCTAAAGTGGGGGAGAGTCAAGTGCTCCTGCGTCCCGGCCCCCAGAGGGCCCTGAGGACAGGCACTAGGAAAGTTAGCCTGTGCACGCCGCCTCAGGCCATTTGGCCCTTTAAAAAAAATCAGGAAAAACTTTCCCTGGGTCCAGAAGGCCAAACTATCCCACATTCTATCTTATAATTCAACTAAACATGAGTGAACCCTCACGAACTATCTGTTTTGTATGTGTGAAGACAAAGAACTGAGGCCAAACCCCGGTTCCGGCAAGTCACTTGTGACTTTGAGCGACTGACTTTACTCTGCTTCGGAGTCCACAGGCCGCTGGGAGGAGGAAGCCCAGAGGCACGTGGTGCCTCAGAAACACTGAGCCCAGCTTCACACTGATTTTAAACGCAACCCTTGCCTCTCACAAACAAGCTTCTGACTTAGAACTGACATCTGTGGAAAAGATCACTGTGATTGCAGTGCGGAGATGGCTGAGGCCGGGAGGAGAGGCATGCGGGGGCAGTGACAGCGGCAGAGGGGGCCGCCGCAGCAGGGAAGGCACACGTGGAGCCTGGTGAAAGCAGAGCTTCAGGGGCAGCTGTGGGGTTAGCGTGGTGTGAGGGCTGAGAGACGCCCTGGGAAGAAAGGCTCTCCCCTCAGAGGGAAGAGAGGCTGGGGTGAGTGGAAGCCCGATCTAGAGGGTTTAAGAGAGAAAGGGGCCCGGAAAGGTCTAACAGATATAAAGGAGGACACCTATAATGACGTCCCAGAGGCATTTTAAAGAATGAAAGTTTAAACTCTGGAACCCCCTTAAAGATTTTCATATTCAAAAAACACAAATGGGGAGAAACTGAATACACACAGAAAGAAAATCTACTTGTATTTCAAATGAATAATGAGGCACTGTAGAAAGAGTGAAAACAAGGAACTTTAAATTCAGTACTTGACTAACCCTTAGCCTAAAAACAAATAGAACTAAACAAATCCTGGGTTCTTCCAGCCTCTGTTTCCACAGTGGAGTCTGGGCGGCTCTGGCGCCTCCATCATGGAATGGCGCAAAAGGCAGACGCAGCCTGTGAGTCAGAGTTCTCACTGCTGGGGAAGGGAGGGCAGGAAAGAGCAGCGGAACTGGATGGCGGTGGAGATTCCTGAACTAAATCACAGGTTTTATACACCCATTTGTGTGTACATGGTGGTGTGCGCGCACAGGTGTGCCTGTAAGGCTTATGGGGGTGTGCGTGTGGAACTGAGCCCGTCCCCCAGGTTCTAACTCTAGCTTCAGGTAGACCTCAGAGTCTAGAGGCCTGTAGGGCACCCCATCGTGGGACGGAACTGCCTGGAATAGGGCAGCCCCTAAACGTCTGGTGCCCAGAACAGTCCGCAGAGAGGGGTGCTGTGTGAGAAGTAAAGGAGACACACAGGGAAGAACTGGAATTTTCCTAATCTGGAGGAGAAAAACTGACGTTTCTCCCTCCCAACTATATAATAAAAAGCACTGTATGTAGACTGTGGTTAGTGAGAGGGCGTCCTTGGTCTGAGGACCACGCAGCTGGAGAAACAGGGACACAAGGTTGTCAGTCCACTCTCACTGGATTCGCAAGGGAAACAGTAACAGCGTTTGTGTGTGGAGAGAGACGATGAGAAGGTGTGTGTGGCAAAATACTACCAACTTGATAAAGCTGGGTGCAGGGTACACAGGAATTCTTTAGTGTATTTTCAAAAATTGGCAAATCATTTTTTGAAACATTTTAAGAGCAGGAACTTTTTTAAAGTACCTAGCAAGGCGGGCGAGGTACCCGAGGGACCCAGGTGAGGCACAGGGCAGGCCGCCAACCCCACAGAAGTGGCCGTGGAGGGAGGAAGCAGCCAGGGTGGCATCGCTGTCACCTCCTGCGAGGGGAGGGCTGAGGGAGGCCCAGGAGACAGCTCCTCTGGGATATCCAGGACCAGCCACCAGCGGGTCAGGGTGAAAGGCCCTTGTCCCACTTACCACTGAGGAAGAGCTTCTCCAGTTTCTCCAGCAGCTGCGAACACTGGTGCAGCTGCTCCTGGAAACCCTCGGCCACGCAGTGATCCACGTCGCTAGCCTGCAGCAGCTCCTCGAATGCCTTCACCATGGTGTTCACATGCTGACGGTAACTGACGCACAGGCCGTGGCTGTCCTTAATCTGCCGTCGCTGAAGGGAGAGCTCCCTGGCCTGGGACTGGACTAATGAATCGTATCTGATAAAGGGAGGAAAAGAAAATGCTCGTATCATATCAGAATTGAATTTTTGTGACCTTAACACTAATTGGAAAAATGACAGAGCACTATTTTTAAAAGCCTGCAGCTGTACAAGTGTATATCTACACACTTTTAGAAAAATTGAAACTCTACAAGGTCACTCCTTCTTTGATTTCAAAACAGCCAACAAATACTGGAACAAAGGTTCTTCTGCAATCTGTTTAACCTTATAACGCCCCCAATTAAAGTCCTGATGGGCAAAGACTCAGGAGGACAATTAGTTTCCATATAATCGTCAAAACTACGACTCCAAATTGTAGAAACAAGTGGCCCAGAGGGTCAAGAGACCCACCCACAAAAAGAGAAACTGTAAGGCAGGAAAACAAAGGCAGGATCTTCTCAACTGGAAGGCCAGGGGACAGTCAGAATCCCACTGCCGTTCATGGGGGCTCTGTGACCCGTCTGCCATGAAGGCCAATCTTCTGGCCAGTCACCTGGCGCTCCCAACCTTCCAACAAATATCAGAACCCCTCCCCCTTTTCCTTCCAAATTATGCTTGCTGAGGTAAGTAGGTCGACCTCTTTGTATCTGCTCCAACCTCCTCTTTTTCAGAAGAAGTTGGATCTCAGGGACGGCAGGGCTAGCTCAATGGTGAGGATGCCCAACTCAAGCCCATTTCCACCTTCAAAGCCCACGCTGTCGTGAGCAGTACCACCGGGCCCGGCACCGTGGCCTTCCCCCAGGGAGCCCCAGGTGTGAGAAGGCCCTGTGAAACTCAAGTTAGGAAGACAGGGCTCTTGTAACCAGGACCCTGTTACCGGGCTCCGGGGTGGCTCAGCAAAGACCCGGTCTCCGTTCAACCTGCTTCTCTTGCCCTGAAACGACGTCAGTGTGTGGGCCCCACACGCACACAGGTGGCCGGCGCTAACAAAGGCGGCCGCTCAGCGCACTGTGGCAAGGGCCCTCGGCTCTGTGACTCTGCCGGGCGAGTCTCAACAGCCTCTTTGGGACTCAATTTCCCCTCTTCAAAAACTCGTTTGGGAACATCTATCTCCTTTGCAGGTGATCCAAGGACTTGCTAGGAAAGTGTGTAACTGAGGAGACACAGCTGCCTTCCAATAGACGTGTGCTCCTTTCCCTCTCACCATTCAGGGAGTCTCAAAAAATTCAGTGTGGCTGCCGGTGTTCTGAGCAATGTGTTTGTCTCAAATTAGTGACGAATGAAGGTGAACTTTACAAATGATCCCATTTTTGTCATATCTCATGAAGCGAAACTGTACATATCTATGCCCATAAAACATATCTTCATGACCTAAGACGCCTTCCCTTTCAACACCAACTTATTTCTCTAAGATGACCTTAAAGGGCAAAGATACGGAAAATATTTATATTCTTCACACCCTGCCTAGAACATCAGTTTCCATTCCCAAGCACAATGAAAGCCAATAACAGGGTCCAGGAGTAATACTGCCATTCAGCAAAGGTGCTATCACTCAGAGTGACTGCTATAAAAGCTTTCCCCTGCGTCCCCAACCTCACGAGGGCAGAACCGCTCTGCTGGTTTCACAGGAGAAGATGAATGTGGCCTCACGCGTCTCCTCCAGGGCCTGGCTGCCTTACCCCTCCCTCAAGCCTGGCCTGCCCAAAGAAGGTGGCCTTCTGGGCTCGGGGGCTCCTCCCCCCCTGGCAACACAGGGGAACCGCAGGTTTACACAGTGGGCGAAGGCGGAGGTGACATGTACCTTGAGGGTGAGAGACCTCTGAACTTATTCTGCAGGTTATGGATTTCACTGAAAAGCTCCATGTTCAGATTCTGCTCCTTCTGCAGCTCACACTTCTGCTCCACCAGCTGCTGCTTAAGGTTCTCCAGCGTCCTGTCCTCAATCACCTCTGGGGCCAGCGGGTGGAGGATTTTCACGTGTTTCACATAACGTACTTGGTGCAGACTTGAGAAGGTCATTTCTTCCTCGTCAGTCCTGCCCGTGGGTTTGTTCACGCCATCCTGGGCCCCTTCTGTCCCACACAGTACTGTGATGACGGCCTCGCTGCACTGGGAGTGCTTTTGAAGCTGAAAGAGGAAATTCCGGTAGCCCTCCAGCTCCCTTTCCAAGTCACAGACTTTCTGTTTTAGGTTTTCTGTATCATTTGAGGTATCGATGTTCTCAAGCTGACCAGTCTCAATTTCACTAGCTTTACTGGGAAGCTGACTCTTCGAACATAAAGTGGTGACGGAAACTGGGCCTGGGAAATCTTCAGAGGGGCTCTCTTTACATGTGGCTGAGGTGGTAGGGTCATCAAGCTGGTAAGTTTCATAGTCTGAAAGCCAGACAGTTATGTCAGTACGTCCTTAGCGAAACCCACCTCTCCCCACAGTCACCGCCAAGCTGAGACCACAGCCAGAGCCGCCTAACAAGCCGCCCTGGTTTCGGCCCTTCCCTCTGACCTCTCAATCTAGCCTCTTCCACTAAGAGAATTTAGCCCGGATAACCAACCCTCCCCCACTCCAATAATCCAAATTCCCTCTCACATCATCTGAAAGGCCCCATGACCTAGCTCCATCTTTTCAGAAATACCCACTGGCGCCACCCCTGGAGATTCCCCTTTAAATTACCCACAATTCCTGCCACACACCGGCCTGCTTCATGCCTCTGTACCTTTGCTGTGCTGTTCCCTCTGCCTGGCATACACTCCATCCTCCACTTTACCACAAGACTGGTCCTTCAACACCAGTCAGATTTCCTTTTCTCTGTGAGCTCATCTCCAAACCACACAAAGCCATCACTGCCCTCTGCGCTTCCACAGCGCCTCCTGCCTGCTGCCTGCAGATACACGCACATAAGGAGCTCATTCTGGAATTAACAATTGGAATTTCGCGTGCTTCTGTATTTACACAGCATCAGTTATGGACTGCTCTCCCCTCACTGGGCCGCAAGGCCTTCGCACAGGGACCGGTGTTTCACCGTCACGTTCTCAATGCTGGCATGGCATCTAACACAGACCAAGTCAAGGAAGGTCTGATAAACACCGGGCTGGCAGGACAACATGGAAGGGCTGGTAAGCACCCACAACAGACGAGTCTTCTGATTGCCACGTTCCCAGTCTCCGCCTCCCGCACTGAGTCCTTCCACTGACTCACAGCCCTTCCAGGAAATGCTTCCTTACAGTTAAGTTCCCAGGGATGCAGCCATACCTGTTCGAGAGGTAGAGTGATGATCAGAGAATACAGAGGTGGTTGGGAAACCAGAGAGAATTGTGGAATCACAGCTTTGCCTTTGGCTGTCTGCACAGATTTGGGCAAATACTGCCTCACGTTACTGAGCCTCAGTTTCCCCCAGAAGGCTGTCTAAATGGCTGTGGTGAGGCTTCACCATGAGTTCAGAGCTCCCACCCTTTACCACATACACCACACTGCCTCAGTGTCAGGAGGTGGCTGAGACTCAAGAGGCGGCCGAATGTGGTTAAGAAAAAAAAAAAAAAAATCCTCTGTAAACAAAAAGACCTGGTTTCAAAGGCTAGTCTGCCACTCCCTAGTTCATGACTTTGGGCAAGTTACTTAAGCTCTGGAACCTTCAGGCTCTGCACGCGTCATGGAGAGTGTAGCACTCACTGGCAGGAGGTGTCTGCTTTGTGGTGACGGCCACGTGGAACAGCACCTGCCGCCAGGCTAAAACATGCCTGGCATACAGCGATGAAGGACCCCGACTAGCCTCCACAGCTTTGCTTCCCCAGAGCTGTTCAAAGACGGGACATACCCACCACCGGGGCATGCGGGTGAGGGCAGGGGTATCACAGCTCAACTACTAGTCCCAACTAGCAGAGAGCAGGAAATGCAGCAAGATCTCACAGGAGAGAAACGATACAAAATTCCCTTTGCTGAGTTCTACAACTCTTCCCTGCGGCTCGAAACCCATTCTCGTCCCTTCCCAGAATACAGGTCTGCCACGGCCAATTGCCAGGCCCCTTGGGTAGGCGCCCGCCCATCCGGGGGACCCACTCGCACCCAGCCCACGCTTGGGGGGAAATGTGTGGTGGGTGGACTGGGAAGCCAGAGAGACATCCTCCTGTCTCTTGACTTGTCCTGCTTACCAGCTGGGTGACCCTGGACCAATTCTTTTTAAAAACTTCTGCTCCCTCCTGTCTTAACTGGGAACAGGGACAACACCCAAGTTGGGCACTGAGGGCTGAGTAGTAACTTTCGCACCCACCCTCCCTCTGGACCTGAACAGAGCTGCTCAATGCACAGGGCTGAATTCTGACCCGTCTCGGGGCTTGTCTGCCGCTCACTGTCCCCTTCCCTGTCTCTCCAGACGTGAGGCGCGGCTTCACCCCCTTTCTGCTCTCCCGCGATATCCTGGCAGGCTGCTCCCACGAGGGGCTGGGCTACAGGATTAAGGAGAAAGAAGAAAGAAAGAAAACCATCGACTTGAAACTTATTCAGGCAACTGAGAAAAACACAAAGATACAACAGGGAAAATAAAAACACTGGGGAGGCAAAATGCAATTTATAAGATAAAATTAATCTATCGAGCTGCCATAACAGGACATAAAAAGCATAAATATACTGCAGCGTGTCTGAAATGGTTTAAAACTATGAGTGAGAAAATGAATTCTATAGGCTTGTGCCCACTTTTCTCAAGAAGAGAGAGGCCCCAGGGTCTTCCAGGCAATGGCAGAAGCAGCACCTGGTTGAGGCATCCGAGGCTCTCAGCAAGAATTAAAAACAGTTACGAGCAAATGGCAAGCCCAGGGCAAAGTGCCAGGCCTTCTGTTGGGATGCGTCACCTCTGCCATAAAATCTTTGCTCTCTAAAATCCCCCACTATACCCGCCTCACACTCATCTGTTAAACTCCCCCCGCCCCCATCAGACAGGGCCGTCGGACAAAGCCGAGGCTGCCTCTCTTTCTGCTCTCTGTCCTGCACGCAGTGTGGAGGGCCTGGGCTGGGAGCACAGCCCTTGTTCGGGGGGACTCCCCGAAAGCTCGACTCGATGCCTGACGGAGGAGAATGGGTTCAGAGACGGAGAAGGAGGAGGGAAGAGCAATCCCACCAAAGGCCACTTGTTGTGAAGCCCCGATTACGGTCAGCCTCAAAGAGAATCTAAAATTAAGTGGACACCCCCTGGCTACAGCTCAGACTAAAGCCTGCCCGTGAAGATCGCACGCTGGGTCTCAGGACACAGCAAAGTGGCAAGCTCTGCCACCAGGCTGCGGGTCCCCGTGGTGCTGAGGAGCTGGTGTCGGTGTGACGGGAGCCCAGCTCGGGGTCCCTGGAACTGCTGCCTCAATGGTCAAACTGGAATAACGGCTGGGTCTGCCCCACGGACTGTGAGGAGGAAGAATCGCCCGTGTGTTTAAAGTGGACAGAGAGGCTCAGTGAGTAATAAGGGGTTATTTTATTACTGCCACGGGGCATCCAAGGCTGGCAGTCATCTCCCATCCTCAAAGAACCCCAAAGCCCCCTAATCAGATGCAACCTCCCACCCCCATGCACAAACCCTTCACTGGCAAATCCCAAATGACCTCAGTCTCCTCCCTGACCCTCCCCTTCATCCCCTCTTCTGAGGATATCTTAGAGTGGAACTTGGCACACAGGACAATTTAATACATGCTTTCTGCACCAATAAATAAGACAGCTGTTGCTGTGCTTGTTACCGTGTGCTGCTGCCTTGATTCAAAGTCAGGAATCATGAGAGACACTTCTGTGAATTCATGGATCCTCTGAAAATGGTGGGCACCTTACTTATGTGCTCCCCTGCCTTGTTCTGGGATGGTGTCTAAAATGTGTCCCGTGAGGTGAAGAGAATGTGGAATTAGCCCTGAGGAGCCCAAGCAAATGTGGTCTGGACCTTCTGCAAACCGGGCTGTTTTCCCTATCCCCTGATGTCTCACCAAGGCGGTCACAGATGAAGCCAGGAAAAAGCCTGATTAAAGTCACCCACAAGCAGGTCAGGATCCCACGGGAAGGAAGCAGTGACCCCAAGACCCGCAAGCACCACCAGCCCTCTTTCCCCAGACTCCAGAATAAAATAAAAACAGTCACTGCGTGGTCCACACTGTGTTCCCACAACTGTGTTTGGCGAGCGTCAAGATTAATCACGGCGACTCATGAGACTACTCGAACTCATTGCCATTCTAAACAACAAGGCTGACATTTCAAGCAGTGCTCGCGGTCGCTCATCTAGCTCAGGGAGGAGACATTTTCCTTGGCGCTTACCATTCAGGAGCACGTTGTCTGGCGCTGGCCTCCCCTCCATCGCTGCTTCGGCCAGAACTAGCTTTTGGTGAAGTTGCTTATTGCGGATTTGAAACTCCGCGAGCTCCTCCTGCAGCTCCAAGATGTGGCCCTGCAGCTGGGCCACCACCGTCTGCGTGGCAGGGAGCTGAGTCACGCTTCTCAACGACCGGGATGGTTTTAAAAGGATGGGCAAGCGGGACTTCTTTGCGTCCTGAGAACACAAGAACACAACAGTGAACACGCGGCCTTGGGTTGCACGGGCGACGAGCTCACGCCAATCTCATATGCCACGCCAACTGCCGTCCCGATGTCTGGTTCTCGGACCGCACCTTCGCGTACCCCCAGCCTAAGTCTGTGCCTTGGCTGTCCCTCCTCTGACTGACAACTGCCAAGTGTTTGCTTCTTGACACCCTGTTGGGCCTGGCCACTGTCTCTCTCGACAGTCCCGATGCTAATATCCGGCCGTCCTTTTCCCAACAGTCTTTGGGAAATGTTTTCTTGTTCCTTATTTATGTCCTCGCTTCCCACCCATTCCTCCATCTGAGCCAGCCTGCCGCCTGCCCCTGCCAGCACACCAGAATCAGCCCTTACTGAAGTCTCCAGTGGCTACAGATTATTTCCCAGCCTCAGAGATTCTGACCTGCTGACCTTCATGTTTGGTGGCTCGCCAAAGTCAACGAAAAACTCAGCTCTTCAATCCCGCACCCCATGTGGCCACCCAAGAGCTACACCACTTCAGCAACCTCTGTCCTGGTGAATCACACCACCCGTCACTCACTGTACAGCCCCCAAATTTGGGAGCTTTTTTGTAAACTGAAGTAGTACTGGGTTACAGTGTATGATCAGCATCTGTAATACTATACTTCAGGTGACCCCCAAAAGTCCAGTTCCATTCTTCACCACATACTGTCTGCTTTCACATGTCTGACCTATACCTGCGCCCCTCCCCCCTTTTACTTCTGATAACCACTAATTGGTCTTCAAGTCCAAAAGTTCATTTCCACTTCGTTTGGGCCACACGTGTTGTTCTGTCTCCCACACACGCACGACAGCGCGCTGCGTCTGCCTTTCACCGCACACTGTTCCCTCTGGGTCCATCGTGTTGCTGCAATGGCAGGATCCACCCTCAAGGAAGAGCACAGCAGCAGTGCGTGCATCGCACCCCGCATCCTCTGACCTGTGTGTCGGTGAGCGCTGACGTGGTTCCCAGCTCTTGGTTATTGTGAAAAAAGGTGCAATCAACATGGAGGTGCATAGATCTCTTTGAATTGGTGTTTTGGGGGTAACTACCCAAAAGTGGAGTAACTGAACCATGTGGAATTTCTATTTCAAAATTTATGAGGCATGTTCTCACTACTTTCCATAGTGGCTGCGCCCATTCACACGCCCACCAACTCAGCAGGGCACCCTCCTCCCACATAAATCCGCTGTTTGTCGGCTTCTGGATAGTATTCTTTTCACAGGTGAGAGGCGTACCTCACGGTTGCTTTAATCTGCATTTCCCTAATAGTGAGGGAGGACATGCCTGGGACATCTGCAGGTCGAAGTTTCTACTTGACCTTCGACCCTTTTTACCCATGTTTTTATGTTGTTGAGTTTTATGACTTCCTTCCATATTTTGGGTAGTAACCTTTCATTAAACATCTGCAATACAGTATCTTTTCGTTCTGATGTGTGTTTCTTTTGCTTTTACAGATGCTTGTCATCTGGTGGGGGCCCATTTGTTTACTTTTACTTTTGTTTGGGCGCCACACATGGCTGAATAAATGTAAACTAACAATTCTAATCGTATGTATGCCCAAGAGAAATGGGAAAAAAGCAAAGTACACACACACACATCCAAACTTTGCATGAATGTTTATAGCAACATTACTTGTAACAAAGGTAGAAACAGCCCAAATGTCCAACAACTAATAAATGTCTGGATAAAATACGGTGTAACTACACAGTGGCTATCATTATCATAAAAAGACACACAATGCACAGCTGAACCCTGAAAACACACTAAGTGAAACACGTCCATCATCAAAGGGCAGATATTCAGTGATTCCACCGGCACAAAATTCAAAGGGCAGATATTCAGTGATTCCACCGGCACAAAATATGTCGACCAGGCAGATCTCTGAAAACAAAGGGGACAGTCATCACCATGGCTGGGTGGGCAGGATGAGGACAGAAATGACTGGTGTCTCTCTGGGCTAATGAACATGTTCTACAAGGGACTGTGGGAATGGTGGCCCAACTCGAGGAACATATTTGAAAACCACCGTGAGGCTCACTTTAAATGGATAAGCTGTATGATATGTGAATCGCACCTCAATAACGTTATCAGTAAGACATTTTTTTTTTAAGTGAGGGAAAAGGAACCTGAGAGGAAAGCAGGAAATACGTGGGACTCTGGGAATGAGGAGATTGCGTTCTCTCAAGAAGGAAAAAAGAGGCGGATCCCTTCTTACATGTTCTGGTCTAGAATGTAAAATGCTTTCAATCACATTCTCCTACAACCCTTAGAACCTCTGATTCTCAAAGCTCGCTGAATAATGGAAGTTTCTGTGAGTATCTTCCAGACAAAGAAAGAACGGAGACAACAAGGCACAGGTCCAATGCCATCCGCCAGGGAGGAGGCAGGGCTGGACCTCGAGCTAACTCTCCAGGCCACACGGCTCAATTAGGGGAGACCCTCTCTGCCCTGAAATTCCCAGAGAAGGAGAGAACAGACTCCAGGACAAGAACAGCTCTCCAGCTGCAGGGGACCCCTTGGGAGGAAGTAGGTGCTTCATAAAGAGAGCTGGAAAGTCGGCGGATCTGTATTCCTGGAACCGAGTGTGTGTGTCAGATGGCAGCAGAAGAGATATGTGCAAGCGCGCAAATGCCAAAGCCAACTGCAGGCTGGAAGTCCGCCGCCAGGCAACCTAGTGGGTTCTAAAATAACCCCACACAAAATGCTACCTTCTGGACGCCGAGTGGCCCCACCTACACCTTCTTAAAGGTGTCCTACTGTGGAATGGAAGGGGCAGGAGCACACAGGCATTGAGCTCCCAGCAGGTACAAGGCTCTAGGCCTGTCACACGTCACCTCATGCAGCTGTCACACCAGCCTCGGGTTCTAGATCACACGGATCCCCTCAGAGCCACTGAGGAGGGTCAGGTGACCACGAAAGTACAGGTGGCGAGGTCTCACACAAGCAGTGCACATCCTCTCACCTCTAACTGAGGAAGCAGCGTCTCCTGGCTGCACCCCGGCTGGGCAACATTCTTGTTAACGGGTTCCCAGAGTTCTTGCTTATCCCCTGACTAGCCATAAGGGAAAGCGTCGACTCGTTTCTGCTCCGCACAGTATGGAGGCCACAGTGCTGCTAAGAGGCTCCTCCCTTCCTGAGAGGGTAGCTCTGTCATACTCCAGTGCTCCACAGCCAGCTTCACCTCGCACCCTCGCTACTCTCCTCACAGCTCAGTTGTCTCCGAACGCTCTGGACAACTTCCTGGCCCTCCAGAGCCTGCACTTCCTGCATGTGCAAAGTGAATAATACCGACCTGACCCATACACTGTGGAGAAACGACATGTATGTGACATTCCAGCACCGTCCCTGGCACATAAAGCAGAGGACAAAGAGCAAGTTGGTAGCACAAAGGAAAAAGACAATTCTAACTGAAGGGGAAAGATTTCAACATATTTGGGGAAAGTAAGTTACTCAATTATCTAATTTTTTTGAGCATAAGATGATACCTTCCATAAAAACAGGAAAAATAAATAAATAAAAGGCTGCACAGCATCTAGATTTCTCATACACAGGTACAAACTAAAGGGCTGGGGCAGATGAGAGCATTTCTATTCTAGCCAAATTACACAAATTTGCATGTCGAGTATCATCAATATAATAGCAGTGTCTTTATTATTATTTTTTTTTTTTTGTCTCTACTGATATCTTTAGAAACCCCTTTTCTAGAAATTACAGTTTTGGTGCCTAATTTAAAACAATCAAAAGCAATTTTGCTAATGATATATCTAACTCTCTTTGGTATGCACAAAAGCAGTAATTTACTGGTCAGAAAATAAACTTAATTCTCCATTCTGATGCTATGAAGCAGTGTGTACGGTGGATTTCCCGACACGAAACACTCATCAGAAACAAGAATACCAACAGCCATCACGAGAGCTCAGTTAGAAACACAGCCCCACTCCCTTCTCTACCAGAACCGTCTTCTGGCCCTCTAAAGCCCAAGCCCTCCTCGCAAGAGGACTTCAGGAAAAGATCCAACCAAAATACCAAGAAAATCTGGTTCTTAATAATCTGACCTGGTTGGCGAGAAAATAATAATAATAATGAACAGTTATATACCAGAGACTTTTTATGGGGGTGGAGTGGGGAATGGGATCAATAAGAGTGGGGGGAGGGAAATGCACTGGACTATGGTGATGACACATGGGTGATCTGGTGATGGGAAGCCCACAGGGATTTGCAACTGAGATGGAAAAATGCACAAAATGATGTAAACATAAACTATTATATTACTCATTAAAAAAAGAATTCAAAGATCTGATGAACACTAAAATAAAAATAGCTGGCCCCTTTCTGTAAAAAAAAAGTCTGGCCTGGTTGATGAGGAGCTTAGAAAACAGCATCTTGACTGAAGTGAACCAGATACCGGCACCAAGAGCTGCAGGAAAGCTGCCACGGGAAGGCGGGGCTGTCCAGTCAGGCACAGTGAGGTCCCTGTGCAGCTCCTTAGTCACTGGCACTATGGACAATGGACCCGACTCCTCACCTTTGATGGGTGTTGAGAGGACAAGAGAACACAAGAAAAGCCCCGCCCCTCAGACAGAGAGCCACACATGCACCACCGAGGTCCTCATCCCACCCCTCAAGTCAGGTTTCGGCAACGTTACAACTTGCAGAAGTAAATGACTATAACAAGCAGAAGCACTGAAATGTGGCCACATCTCCCGTGAAGGCATCGACACAGCCATCACGAGCAACAGCGCTCCTGAGACGTGACACGGAGGAGAAAAAGCTACAGACAGATGCGTGAACATGAGTCCATTTTTACAAGAAAAACGCACGAACACATAAACGTCACGGGTCAGTGAGTTAGGGCTGGGACAGGGGAGGAGAGCGCGAAGCGGGAAAGGTTAGTGACACTGTGGGAGAGTCAGGGTGAACACACACCGCTAGGGAGAGCCCAGGAAAAGTGCAGGGAGCAGGAGACACTACAATTCACAGAAATATATATCTTAAAAGAGCCGCAGAACTAAGTGCATGGGTAAACTTACTCTGTTGGACGCGCGGGGGCAGCAGGGAAAGGCATCCGTCGGCCGCCCCGGCATCCTGAGCGAGGTCTCTGGCTGATGCTCGGCGCTGACCGCAGTGTCCGGGGCTTTCTCCTCCCGAGCCTCACCGTGGCCCGCGGGTTTGAAGGGGAGTGTGTCGCCCTCCATGGCCGCAGTCTGTACTGAGGCATCCTTCAGCTCCACCCAGGATGCCTCGCCAGCCTTGAGTAGCTGGTCTCCCCAAGGCAACTTCAGTTCTTCATGTGGCTCAGAAAATGAGCTCGCATGGAGGGAAGGTCTCAGTTTACCTCTTAGCTCAACCACCACTGACTCTTCATCTTTACCCTCGAGTGGTTCTCCGGAAACTTTCTGCTCTATCAAGCGTAGTTGTTCCAGAAGCAGTTCACGCAGCGCTTTCAGAATGTCTGGCCTGTTTTTCCAAAAGGGATGGAAAGGAGAGAACTAAGCTTTCTGCTGTCGTCTGTCCCAACCCAGTGCCTTGCTCAGTTCTTTCTAAATGCACTGCCACGCCAATGCCCATGCGAGTGCCATCGCCTATGTCACCTCACGACTCCATGCCTGTTTCATGAGCAAGACGAGGAGAACAGACTTGACACAGACGCACAGCAAGTGAGGGGGCCGCTGGCTGTAAGACGCAGGCTGGGCCGAGGAGCAGCAAACCAGGCCAGGTGTCAGGACAACGGCAGGGTCCCCCCACCTACACCTGGGAGGAAGTACGGCTTTGCGTGAACCTGGCCAGACTGGCAGATCCACCAGTGACCTGGTCCTTCAGGGGACGCGACACTCAGTGCCAAGTGAGGGGTGCTGTGACCAGCAAGTGAGAAAGGCAGCCTCTTTGAAATCAGGCCAAAGGGCTTCAAATTTTAACTCTGCAACTCCCTGCATTAAGATAAAGCTTCCTCCATGGGACAGCTGTGAGGTAAAGGGTGAGCAGGGCTCTTCACGTGCCACAGGCCTGCAAACACATCTGCAGACACAGTCTGGCCCAGCTCCTTCCAGAGCCCCGTGAGCCAGGCAGCAGGGCAGAGGGGTCTATGACCAAGTTCTTACCTCTGAGAGAATCCCATCAGCAGCTGGGGGAAGATGGCTGTCGGATAAACATCCCTCTCTCTCACCCTTCACTCCGAGGCATCCCTCATGGGAGCCTGGCAGGGCTGCACCCAGCAGCCCACAGTAACGAGTGACATAATCAATACTGTACCCTCACTGGCTTTTCTTCCAATCCCACATTACTCTGCCTGACCCCCTCCTCCGCCTGCTCCCCAGAGTCGTACCCCAAATAAGCCACTTAACCCAAGTCCTGATCTCAGGGCCTGCTTTCCTGGGAACTCAAACTAAGAGAGCATGAAAAGACTATGACAAAGTTTAAGAAGGACCTGAGTGTGCTTCTGATGGTGCCTGGCACCACTGGGGGACACATACTAGCCTTGGAGACAGATACACAGACAATTTGCTACCCCACAGGGTAAAAGCGCAGTATGGGCAAAAGTCCCAGAGTGTCCAGAAGGGGGGCACAGAGGAATGTCAGGAGAGTTCTAGAGTTGAGACAGCTGGTAGGAAAGGAAATGGAACAGCCAGAATGTGGAAAACATGAGAAGACACTGGCGGCTAAGTGATGTGGCCAGGGAGCCGGCAGAGGCCAACTCAGCCACCCTAACGACAGCAGAGTGGCTGTTAGCTCTGTGCCATGAGGGGTGGGGGCACCCCATGCTCCGCGAAGGTGATGGGCAGAGAACGAGGAGAGACCACCAGTCAAGAGAAGGCACTAGCACACCCCGAGCACCGTCCGTGCTACCCACGAGTAAACGGCAGCAAAACATACCGGCTACAGCACTCCAAATCAAGGTAAACTTGACCCAGGGGTGACAAACAAGGGCGAGACCCACAGCCACAAGAAGGGGGCCAGAATAAGGGATATGTGCAGACCACATGGGGCAGAAATTCAGCTCCCCTGAGGAGGGCAACCATGCAAATTTCATGAACTATAAAATAAGATCTAGAAGGTCAAGCTGAGGCAACGTGCAACTCAAAACTGCCACGCAGCGGGCGGCGAGGGTGAGTAAGTGCAGGGCGGAGAACACAGGCAAGACATGCCCGCCGCAAAGCCCATGGTCACCACAGGCAGTGAGAGATGCACACAGAGAAAGCACAGAGAGCCACCTGAAGACGTTCAATAAGTTTGTTTAAGTCATCTGAGAAATAATGGATAAAATGAAATTCACTTAATACAAAAGAAAAAATCATGACATTAAGACAGAAAATTATGAAGAGACTGCAGAGGCATAGGAGGTGGCCAGGGGGGAAGCCGCGGCAGCTCTGGACAAGGTGGGGCCGTCACACAGAGAAGGCTGGGCCAGCCCTCACGATGCTGGACCTCCCCTGCGTGCAGTTTCTCCTGCCTGCCTTACCCAAAGCAGCCTCGTGAGGCTGGACAGGACTCCTCTCACAGTTTTAGCCACCCTGCGGGCCTGGCTTCCCCTTCCCACAGGCCTCCGGGTTGGCGTTCTCATCATGAGCTCTGGGGTAGGCGATTCAATTCAAATTAAACCACTACAGCTCACTGAGACCGGATAAAAAATAAAAGTTTAAAAATCAAAATTAAAATGGATGGTACATTTTTCACTTCTAAAATGGAATCATCCAGACTACACAAACCCTGACTTTAAAAATATTTCTGGCACTTCAAGCATGTTAAACTAAATTTTCCTTTCCTCTCCTTCCCTTAATTTAGATTAAAAATAATGACAATTGCTATTCAGCTAGCCAGAAGAGGACCATTACTCACGACCAAACAACACACAATAAAACCCAGGAAAAAGACTTTACAAATGGATAGTAAAAGGTGGTGAAAGAGGCCATTATAATATACTAAAATGGGGGTGCTATTAAATAACACATTTCAAATGTTACTTTGCTAGAAATCCAAGTAGCAGATCCATTAAGTAGGTGCCATTGTCAGGATCTTTTAATGGCTCAGTCCAAGAGTCTGGTGTGAGGCCCAGACATTGTTTACATACCCTTCCTGAGCTTCTTGCCACATGGAAGGTAGAAGGGGAGAGGCAATGACATTGCGAGGCTTTACAGTGTGCGCAGATACTCTGAAAACATCCAAACTGAACTGGGGACTAATGTTAACTCCATTGAACAGGGCTCGCGAAGATCCAAGAACCCAGCAAGGTGGCAGAGCCAAGACTGGGACCCAGACCGTCCTGACCCCAAAGAGGCCTGGTGCTGGGCCAGTTTTCTAAACTTGCCTTTGGCTGTGACAGTGAGTTTCAGCCATCACATATTCACCGGGACCACCAGGTGCCAGGTACTGACTGAAAATGCGGCTGAAAACGTATCCCGGGGCTTACATTTCACTAAGGGGGAGACGGGCATGCACAGACCATTGAAAACTCCATCAGACAGAGGAAGGCGCTGGGCAGCCTGTGAGTTGAGGTGGGTAAGAGGGAATTCGGAGTCCAGCGGTTTCCTTCAGACAGTGTGGTCAGGAAGAACATCGTCACAGAACTAACAGCAGCTGAGACACCGCCAGTCACAGGTACCTGCAGGAAAGGAGCTGCTGCAAAGGCCCCGCGGTGAGAACAAGCTTGGATGTCTGAGGAACGGAAAGGAGGCCAGTGTGGCTAACGGACAAGGAGGTGCAGGTTCTAAAGCCAGACATAGCCAGGCCAGGTCAAGACCCTACGGTCACTCCAAGGCAAGGGAAGTCAGCTGGAGGTTTGAAGCAGGGAAGAGACAGGACCTCAGGTTTTAAAGATCACTTCAGCTGCTCTGTGGAGAAGCAGAGGGCAGCCACAGAGCTGAGGGGTGCGTCAGGGATGCGAACTGGAGGTGGGATCAGTCAGACTTGCTGATGGAAGGGGAGGCTGTAGAAACGAGACTTCTAGCTACAGCAATTAGGTAGAACACAGTGCAATTAAATGACATGTGAGCGAAAAGTGAAGGCACAGATTAGCAGGGAGCTGGATTTTCAACAGAGCAACGCCGAAGAGTCTTAAACACGCAGGGGAGCTGTCAAGCAGACAGTGGGCTGCATGATCTGGAGGGAGGTAGGAGTCTACGTCACCCAAATACCCAAAGCCACGGGGAAGATACAGATAAAAAGGGGGCTGAGGGGCCCTCCCTGGTGGTGTAAGGGCTGAAGCGCAGCACCTTGAGGCTCAGCCACACACAGCCACTGCGGCACAAGTTCGATCCCCGGCAGGGAGCTGACAACATGGCGCGGCAGACCTCTCCTGTCCCACACGCTGCTCCCTTCAGCAGTGTGTTTTGGTCAATCCGCCTGTTCTGTTCCCCACTCTGTCTCTGGTGAATTCTCTCAGCCCCCACCCCCCCACCCCACCTCTGGCATGTACCCTACAGCTCTGGTATGCATAAATAATTAAATCTTTGGGGAAAAAAATGTGAGGGGAGCTGAGAACAGCTCCTGGGACACTCCAACGTTCACATTTAGCCAAGGAAAGGGACCAGCAAAGAGACCAGGAAGAGGCACCCGTGCGGCGGGGGAAGGGAACCGGGAGGAGCAGTGAGGGTGGTCAGCTGCTGCCAGCAAGGCTGACGCTGGCCACTGAATCCACAACTTGGGAATTGTTACTGACCTTGACAGTGGAGTGAAGGGCATGTAAGCACCTGAAATGGGACAAAGAGAGGAGAAAATAAAATAGGCAGAGTAACAGGCAATTCTTCTAAGAAATTGCGCCTTTAAGGGGCATAAAGCAATGGGACGGCAGCTGGCGCAAACGTGAAAATAGGGAGCATTTCGGGGAGCTCTTCCCAAATGGCTGACACTAAAGCATATCCTGGAGATGGGGATACAACTAGCGATGCGGAGAGAGCGGGCCGAGAGGGTAGGAAGTTAGTCAAGGGGAGGACAGAGATCTGGTCCCACGGCGAGAGAGCCCGGCACTGCCGGGAAGGGGCCCGGGGCCTGGAGGGCAGGTGGCTCCTCCGAGTTCAGCTGTTTCTGCTCTCCAGATACACGAGGCAGAGCAAGGGGGAGAGACGCGGCGAAACTGCCCTGCGCGGGCAGTGTTGTGTGCTCGTCTGGAAACCAGCGATGATAAATGCCAGGTACAGCCAGTCCGGCCACCACACTAACTTGGGTGGCTCACTAGGCCACGGTCTGGGGGCGAGGTCGGCAGGGACAGTGAGCAGGGTCACTCCTGCCTGGGGAGGGGCGTGCGCAGGGAGCAGCACCCAGCAGGGTACAGTCCGGGGGCGCAGCAAGCCTGCCGGAGGCCCCGGAACAAGAGAGTACTTGGCTGATTCCAGGAAGGGGGAGAAGGGCCGAGCTCAGAAATGCAAAGCGAGACGGGCCGCGTGAAGAGAGCGAAGCAGAGGGCGGCCGCGGCGGCGGGGCCGCGTGGGCCTCGCTGAGAACTGTGGTTCCGGAAGAGTCTGGCGAGTTCTACGGGGAAGAGCAGCATGACTGCGTGTGGACACATTCTGGCAGTAGCAGGGAAAAGAGGCTGGAAGGGAAAGGGGGCCTGCTGGGGACCAGCTAGTTACCGGCGTGAAGACAAGAAAATGAGGCGAAGCAAGGAATGGGCAAGCGGGAACAGGGGAGACCGGCCGCGCACAACGGAGAGGAAGGAGGTCACCAGGCTTCGTCGTGGCGGGCGATTTGGAAAGCACAGAGGTCAGGACGCAAGTTTGGGAGGCAAAAGAAAGTGGAAAGTCAGGGGGGACCCTGGGCTTCTGGGGACCTATCTAGAACCCCACAGATGTGACCCTCCAATACCACAACCCTACCTTAGGCACCTGCCCAGGCTTCTCCCTGCGGCCTAGGTGTCAAGTCTCTCGGAGAAAATGCCATTTCCCTGCCAACTTCTTTGGGCCCTCCCCAGCGCCACGCTCTGGTGGCACTTCACTGTCCCTCAGCCACATCCGGAAAACCAGACTCAGGTTTTCTGAGAGTAAACCCCCTACTTCTACTAGTTAGTGCTCAAGAACTTATTAGCTTTAAAAAAGACCCCAAGGGCTCCCCTTAGATTTTATATTTACTTAACTATCACATTTCACACCTAATTTTAGGCTATAAAGACCTAAATGCTTAGGTGTTAAGTCCCACATCATGTCCTCTGGCGGGGGGGGGGGGGGGGGGGGGGTGCCAGGGGCAGACAGAACGGGGAGCAGGAGGCCTCAGGATTCACATGCAGTGACGGGAAGTGGGGGGACAGTCCCTCTCCACAAGCCAGGTGGGGGCCTCAGTGTCCCCTTCATCCACCTCCAACAAAGAAGCTGACCTGACTGGTCAAGTACAAGACCACGAATCAGGCGAAGGGAGCCGGTGAGTAAGCGCTTCCTTATCCACCCTAGCGGAGGGGCGAGTTGGACCAGTGCTTCTGAGGCCGACTGTTCTGCCAGCCCACAGTCCTGCGCCAGACGGCTGGAGGGTGGAAGGGCCTCGGGCCCCTGTCTATGAGAGCGACCAGTGCAGCGACAACATGTGCACGCACCAGGACCTGCCTGTGGGAATCTTACCGGAGGTTGGTGCAGAAGATCAGAGCAACCAGCAGGGTCTAATTTAAGCAGCAACATCACCGAAACCCCCACTGACTACTGATCTGGATCTACACTTTACACCCAGCTCTTCACTGAGTCCTTAGAAAAGCCCTGTAGCCCCATGCTACAGGAGACCAGATGGAGAGATTCAGCACAAGGTCTAAATGAACAGTACGGCTAGGACAGGAAGACACGGGTGTCTGACTTTGAAGCTGTCATTTTTCCAGTGTACCAAAAACACCTCTGGAAGGAGTTCCTGGCAGAGGAAAGGTATGTCTCCAACCAATCAAAAACCTGCCTGGGAGTCAACTTAACTAGTCCTCTAGAAATTTCCCCAATGACTCTACCATTGTTTATTTTTTAATGCTTGTTTTCTTTTTTTAAGATTTATTTATTTATACAGAACTGGGGCACAGGCCAGAGGTGCACCTGCAGGTGCAGGTGAGAAAATTCACCGGAGACAGAGCGAGGAGCAGAACAGGCAGACTGATGAAGTACACTGCAGAGGGGAGCAGCGGGGGGGGACCAGGCGAGGTCTGCCGCGCCCTGTGGGTCACCTCCGGGGCAAATATTGAACTTGCACTGAAGCGACCACGGCTTGGCTTAGCTTGGCAGTGCAGCGCTCCAACCCACTATGCCACCAGGGAGGGTCCCACTCTACCATGTTATTGAGATGTCAGAAAAGTCATCACGAATTTTTGCTGGAAAAACAGACAAAAATACGTCATGACTTTTCTGACACCGCAATGCTTACTAGCTCAAGGAATGTCAAGCTCCCAAGTATCAGCTCCCATGTTTGTAAAAAGAGGGCTCACAACTAGCAACACACAAAACAGGTACGAGGCAGAATGAGACTGGGCACGTGAAGTATGCCTCTGGGCCCTGGCACAGAGTAGGTGCTGGAATGGGGTGCAGACTGGTGGAGCCCCCGACTGCACTGCTGTGGGGTTCTGTGGTGTATGAACAATAACAGCACAGAGCCTGGGTAAGGGCAGCGGACTCGAGCTGGCTGAGGAGGGACTGGGCAACGAGGGCGTGGACATGATGGCAC